CTCACGGCTCTCATAGTGTAATTTCCTGCCACAGCAGGCAACTGTTTTCATCAAAAAAGCAATAGAAACCCCACTGTACGCTACCTGCCCAGCACCAAATGACAGGCAGTTGGTGACTAGCTTGTGAACATAATGGAGCATTTAGCAGCAGAGTCAGATATTTCCCTCAGGAGTTGGTGAAGACCAAAAACAGAACGAAAAGGAGAGTGAATATTGGACTTAAACACAACACAATTCGCAACAAATTCTAATGTTTGCTTATAAGTTCACTATATCAGCTTTAATGCTGATAATATGTCAGTGATATGTCCACAATGTGTTTCCTGCTGTCCCTAAGGTGCCGAAAAAATTCAGTCATTGCACATTTATTATAAAATATTTCTTGACCCAGAGCAAAAAGGGAAAATTGTATTTGTGATTGTGTTTCATAGTGAGGGAAAATACTGTATGTGTGTTTGTGTTTTGTCCTTCTCAGCAGTCATCTTCTTTCAACTTCATCTGTAGTGACGCCTCCAACCTCAATCTGGGAAAGTTGATTCAGATGTACCTCAGATGTGGCAGATAAGTGCCTTGTCAGTATTTCTGTTAATTCTTCAGATAATTACTGCCATAAGTCTTTACGTTGGATGATAAATATATATGAAGTTACTTGGCGTTGATGCGTTGGCCTGGATACACGTATAGAAGAAAACAAATTGATAACATTGCTGATGAACTTTTATGTCCTTTGAGGATTATGTAGGCTGCTAGAAAATTTGAAAGCAGTCTCATAATAACAGTGTTGGCCAGCCTGTTAATGCAGTGTTCACGTCACACGGAAGGAACATATTTGCTGTTTTCCAGCTTATAAAACCAACTTCCAAGTCGTAACTCTGACTAGCGGATGGATATGATTTTCCCAAAGCTCTGATATATCCAACTTGGCTTTACACAATATGGAAATGTCTGAAAAGCAAACAAACACGGATGGCTTGCGTCAACCAAAATTAACCATTAAAAGGTAAACAAATCCTAACTTAAACCTTTTTTTGTAGCTTAATTTTATGTAACTACAATTTTTTTTCCTGAGCTAATTTACGTTATCTGCTTCTTGTTGTTCAGATGAAAGGGAAAGCCAGCCAAACTCTGTTGGCTTTTTATTGCAGGATCCAGCTCATAATATTATTTCAGGGCCAACTGTAAATGCAGAAATCTATTTCTATCTATGTATATGTATAATAGAGACTGAATTTCCCAAGGCATAATGAAAGATGTCTAGAAATGGTGTAATTTGTTGTTGTATAAAGTGACATAAAACACTGCCATATCTAACCTGCATGCCATTGCTTTGAGGCCCCAACATGTAACTGTGACATTAAAGCTGTCTAATGTGTGAATGCTGTAATTAGAGTTTATTTTGGGGTAAACAGCATTGCACTTGGCTTTGACACAGCTGCAGGAGATGTGATGAGTGAGACCAATTAAAATCCAGGGTCAAAAGTAAAGATCAGACGACGTGTCACTTAAAATGTCACTTCAAAGGTAACACTGCATTCTTTGCAAAGAGTGCAAGCACATACATGTTATAAGCGCTGTTACATTTGTCCTGAACTTTTTGTAGCACTAAATATATTGATAGAGAAAAAAAAGACAATCTGGCAATGTATTGAAAGTCAAACATTCAGTAAGTTGTTAGAGTCATCGTAGATTTTCTCCTCTAGCTGCGGTTGTGAACAGCCTCTATATATATTGGGTCTAGCCTGTCACTATATTTCACCCCAAGAGAAATCTAATAACCTGTATATATGCTGTATATTGTTCAGGTTTCTCATAAAAGCATTCCTCACTGGGATAAGCTTTAATGGCTGTTATTTATATTTGGGCTGGGCAGGTTTATTCTGTGCGCCTACAGAAATCATTACACTTCCCCCTGGGAAAGGCTCTAGCAACGCATGTTTCACCCTGGCAGATGACTCAGCGATAATATGTTTCCCCTTTATCGGTTTTTCCTTTGGTGTTATTGGTTACCTTCCACAGGGGTCATTAAAAAACAACTAGGAGAGACAGACAGAGGCCACATACTAGGATTCTTTACTGTGTAATAAGGAAGGGACTACTTCTGATTATTGAATCTATGCAGACTGAAGCTGAGGGAGTGAAACACTAAACAGCTATTAAGTATTTAACACTATTTCAGTTGCAGTGTGGTCTACTGAAAGAGAAATTCACACAAAGATATGAACAATTCCACTGTAAACAGACTGGAAAGATATAAGAATCAATAACTTCTCATGAAAAGTTATCTGGAAATCACAGGCCTTTGTAAAGTTATCAGGAAATGAAAAGCCTTTGTGATTTTATCAGGGAAAGATATCAGAGACTGCCAGCTGAACTCAAAATACCCAGATGGCTGATTGGCATTTACATCATAGTACGAACGCTTGTATGTGCAAGAACACCTGTCAGACACAAAACAGACAGGTATATACCCATCTCCATGACATGCATACAAAAAGCTTGTGTTTTAGTTAAATAAAACACTAAACTTAAACACCAACACAAACATTCCATCCACAAACAGCTGTTCTGCGCCTTTCACAGATTTTCCTTTAAGCAGAACTCAAAAAGATGCAGAGGCACATAAAACAGAGGAGCATTTTGATTATGCGCAACTATATGGTCCATAAAAACATGGCAAAAGCTACTGCTCATTGAAGTGAACACAGTGTTTCCAAACTGATTATAATCAAGATATTCCACTACAGGCTCAAAAGAAGCTGATGGAAGAGAGTGTGGTGTAAATATTAACAGCAAAGATGATAAGCATAATGGACCCTTAATGGGCTACCAGAAGTACAAAGAGGATCAAACGGAGGTCTGACCACATCTCCACATGCTCTCCAGTGCGAAAGATCAGAGAGAGAAGGGGACAGGCAACACAAAGTGATTATAAAAGGCAGGAAAATGCTTTAAAACATTTAAAAGATAACGGAAATAAAAAATAAAATTAATTATATAATACAAAATAAAACTAGAATATTAGCCAAAGGAATTAAAGTTATAGTGTGGTTGCAGTTCAAAAATAGCCCTAAACTTAATAAAGTAGTGGTAAACAGAAAAACATTGATTTAGAAGAGGTTACATTTACAGCAGACCTCAGATCCACTAGAAGTTTGTTCCAGATTTGTGGTGTAGAGAAACTAATGACTGCTTCAGTGTATTTTGTTTTACCCTTTGAAGCAAAGCAGTCCCAGATGACCTGAGAGGCCTTGAGGGTTCATAACACCAGATCTGATAGGGTATTTTAAACTTGAGTAATACAGTAATAGTTAAAATACAAAAAAAGAAGAAAAAAGGTACAAGCAATCAACCACAAAGGTCTTAATAGCATTCGAGAAAATGTACAGTGTTTGTTTACATATTTCCCATTTTAAGTTTAATGAAACAAAATGTGTCTGTGAACGCCCGGTTACTCTTTGTAAGATCTCTATCAGCAACATCTCAATGAGCTGGAGATATCAGATTGCTATTGAGGCCTGGAAAACACTTAACGGTAGTCCACCCTGCCAACATAAATTCATAAAAAGTTTTTCCATTCATTTTCAGATTATTTTTAAAGGATAAGTCTGGGGAAATTTTTTTACTCACAATAATTTTTTGTATGATCAGTTCATTGTTAGTTTTAATCTTTTAATGAGAATTGTTAACAATGACAAAAATATAGAATATCACCAGACTTATCTATAGTGGAAGACATTTTGGCACATATTTTTTAGGGATACTAACTGCTCAGTGAAACATGTAAATTGTTGTCTGCACAATGATGATCACAGATTTGGTGTAATTTAAAGTAGTGGAAGCATGCAGAGAAAGAACAGAGGAGGGTCAAAAACTGACCCTTGAGGAACTCCACTCAAATATGTCACAGTCTCTGTCTTGTAAAAAAGAATTAAATCGATTCACATTGAGTCATTTAAAAGTTCCTTCTTTGGCACTACTTCCTTTAGAATTAGAAAATAAAAAACACGATTATCAAAATCCCCCCAAAATATACAGTTATAATCAATGCCAAAAAATCTATACAAATAATAGACCGTAAACATTTCTGTGGCCTGTAGAAGGTTTAGAAGGTGATTTAAATAAAAGAGTAAGATATACATCTGCTTGTACTACTTAATTAGAACGGTTTATCCACATCTGCTCGCACTCACTCCAACCTCAGTCATTAGACTAAAGTTGGGAGGGGCTGATGAATTAAAGAACAAGGTCTAATGAAGTTTGAGTTAAATTATTAAAATAAATACATGGTAATTTGTATACATGCTTATTAAGACAGGAATTACACTGGATTTCCCTCAAATGACATGAAATATTGCAAAATTGAATAAGCAGCAAAAAATAATGACAAGGAATGGAGTGGGTGTGTGTATGCAGCATTTCGGGTAAAATAATAAGGTGCATACTGGGGGGAAGAGCAGGCACCCTGTTGATCTCAGGCATCTGCTCTTATGTCTAAAATGGAAAGAGCAACAGAGACACAGGTGGAGCATATGAAATACATTATTGCTGTCAGGGGAAAGCCTGGGAACTCCAGTTGAGGCATCTCTGCTTTTATTTTAAGCCTTAGAGAGACAGGCTTTGATTAGTGGCAATATTTATATTTACCCATAAATTGGATTCAGAAATAAAATAAAAACGTAATGACACACAAATTAGGTGACTTGGCTGTTAGTTGCTGCACAACATATCTTGTTCATCCAATACTGATGTGTTTTTCGTGACTTCAATTCAGAGGTACAGTCAGACAGGAAATCATTGACATTCATGCACCTGGTCTACCACCTGTCACTGCTGGCAACTGAACAGGCTTCTCGCTCACACATCTGTTTACAATGTTGGAGACGCTTCACATTCAGACCATTAAACTGAGGTGATACTTGTACCCAGGCTGAACATTGTGTTTGTGTTTCAAGCTGTTTCACTGAGCCCCATTTAAAAGCCTAAAGAAAAACAAAGCACTGTTTCAAGTTCAATAAAAGTAATTTTATCAATACAGCCACGTCTGAGCACACAACACGAACGAACGAATACACACCTGTTCATCTGTTCACGCAGGTAAACTTCTATGTACAATACAACCCTTCATAAAGCACTGTAAAACATGAAAACTCTTTGTAATGTAATAAATAAATAAAAGCAAACATATATACATGGTATAGTCACATCCAAATACTGCCACTGCCTTATTGTCCCATTAGGAAACTACAACAGTAATTAAACCAATCTTTTATAGCGTCTGTAAAAAAACACCTAAAGACATCTAAAGCATTGGCACAGGGACCTCGTTACACATAAAATGCCCATGAGAGATAATATGTAAATATACTACATGAATATTCAAGTGTAATAGTTTAGTGTTAAGCATGACAGTATCAATAAGGCAACTTCATATTGTTCTGGATGGTTGTGACAAATTCAGGACAATATCTTCCTCTGTTTACAGCGGCTCTGTGAGGCTATACTAAGGCACAGTGCTTTGAGCTGAATGCTAATCTCAGCATGCCAACAATGACGTTGCTGATGTCAAGCATGCATAATGTTTAACATGCTCACAAGCTTAGTTTAGGGTGTTAGCATGCTAACGTTTGCTAATTAAAACTAAGCACAAAGTAGCCGAGGCTGACGGGAATGTCATTAGTTTTTTTTTAGGTGCTTTTGATCATAAACCAAAGCACTGAACAAATTGAAATTATGACCTGATGGTGGCGCTAAATGAAAAGTAAGGGGATTACCAACATAATTATAATTTAACCTGAGGGGGACACGGCATGACAAATTTCATGACAATCCATCCAAAAAAAAAAAAAAACACTGTCTAATGGTGGCACTACAGGAAAAGTCATAGAATCACCAACATCATGATTTATACCCATGAATGTTAAAATTTCATGGCAGTCCAACAGTTTTTGAGATATTTCAGTCTGGACCAAACTGTTGGACTGTGTTTCCTTCCCTAGAACCATGCTGCTAGTGTGGGTAGAAATGACGGAGTGAAAGAAAACAAAAACAAAAATGTAGTCAGACATTTGTCATGAAAATTGCTGCAAAAAAAATACACTGGTGCTAAAAAATGGTTTGACCCAACATGTTTTCCTGTTCATATTCCCGCACCAAAACTTCCTTTCCCTTTTCACAGGAGGAGTTGTGCTCAGAACGTGTTTCCTCAGTCTTTTGCGGGTTCAATCTGTGCACTCTGTTAAAACATATTAGCATGACATATTAGCACAGCTGCAACAACTCTCTCAAAACCACACGGGCTTATGTCTCATAACAAGAAAAACATGCTACAGATAAAAAGAAATAAATGATGGCTACAGGCAGCGAGTCTGAAAAAAGTGGGACTGATGCTGTCGCACCTCATCTTTCAATCCTAATGTTTTGTGCTTCACATTCGGCTCGTACATAAACAAAGCCTGTCTGATAAATGAAAGAGGGGGAGTTTACTCCAAGACATCACCCACTAGAGAGATGCAGCCTGATGTTCTGCTGATATTCGGACGCTTTTTCTCCTCTTGTGGTAAATTTATTAAATAGAGCGCTCAAGGGACGAGATATGTGGGACCTGAGAAAGGAAGGCAGTGTGGGAGGGACAGTAAGAAGAAGGTGGAAAGGTTAACGGTGTTGCTGCAGGGACCCAGTCGATAAAGACCACACACACACACACACACAGAAAAAACTGAAAATAAAGAGACATTTAACACCCAGTGGTGCCTCGAGCTAAGGTGCATGACACGTTTTTTCTCCATGTTTCCAGTAACTTTACACTTTGCAAAAAAACACCACAAAACAATCTTTCAAATATAAAAAAAAAAAAGCATGATGCAAGACGTAAAAGTGAGAAAGGCTTTCTGAAGCCATCCTGGATCCAATCCTGATGCTTCATGAATGTCTTTATCGTTTTCTAAGTGCTGGGTTGGCTGTTTATAGAGTTTCTGAAATGTATCAACATTCAGAGGTACACAATGGTTTCTTCGCCGCCCTCCTCCCCACCGCTGTCAGTCTCCATAGAAACCAGTGCACTGAGATCCAGCTGAGGGTTACCGGGATGCGGGAGCACCGGATATGGGTCGGTTCCGCTTGCTGTCGACGACCAGGTCTCCCCATTGTAGCTGTAACTGTTGTGATCTGAGTGGGCACACACACACAAAAAAAAACACAATTATACTGCAGCTACTGACACTGATAATACATTGACCAAAGTCAAATTAAAGAGACCTCATCATTTACTATCCACTGATAAATAATCACCAGGATGGGACGTGCAGCCACTTGTTTAATGAGCTCAGTCTAATTGTTTAGCCCACTCATCTAATCACAAACTGCATATAGATCAACCACAGCTGCTGCAGCTCAGCCTGCTGCTCCCTCCTGCACCGGAGCATGAGAATCAAGAGTGAAAACAAAAAGATGTTCATGCTATCCATCATTTCCCTTCTACTTAGAGGTGTCACTTTTATCATTATCTTTGTCAACATAATCAATCGTCATGGTCGGGATTTGCTGACACCTGCCTCCTCACACTTGACAGTTAACAAGAAGTGATGAGAAAAAACAAGGGGCCGGAAAAAAGGAAAGATGAACAAATATCTAGGTGAGAGCAGCCTTCAACCAGATAACAAGGATTCAGACCTTTGTGAGTCGGCAAACATATGGCCTGCTCAAGTGTTTTTGAGCCCCAGCTTCAGGGTTGTTTCCCTCAAGGATCAATAACATTATTATTCAATTATAGGAGATCTGAAAGAGAATGTGTTTTTATGGATGCTATCCAGTTAAGAACGCGTGTGTCTCTGTTTGTGTATGTGCTTGCATTCTTACATTTGTGTGCATGGTGGGTGCTCTCTAGCATTAGGGCAGGTGTGCTGTCATGGTAACAGATGGCGCGAACTATAAATTGCCTCATTGTGTCCCTGTAGAAAAGTGTCTCTCTTTGATTAATTATATAAGAGTCTGTTAGAGTAGCTCTGTTAAGCCACCATATAGGCCGGGCCTCTGATAGATGAGACATCAGTGTGCACCCGGATGATACAAACGCTCAATCTCTGTCTAAAAGCTTTATCCATGAAGTAATAAGATTTCAGCATCATTAATATGTTACAACACAGACAGCAAATGCATGCTATTTAAAGAAAAAAACCTATTTGTTAGGGCTGCCGGACATTTGAAGAGGGAAAAAAAACTGTTTGGGCCTAAACACTGATTGTTATGCTGTCTACATCAATGAAATGCAACTGCAAGATCATAATGATAAGCTGTATGAAAATGCTGATATGACTGATTGTTGGTCTGTTTTGTAAGAATGGCATGACTGTTTGGGCCAGGTATGTTGGAAGAATTGTGTAATCTAGTCTCCTGCTGATCAATGTTGATCTCATTGATCTCATCTCTTGAGGAAATTTACCAAACTTTGCAGTAGTACTCCTGTAAACAGAGATTAAGGATTTTGGTGTCAGTCAAAAGGTTCCCCAAAGTCTAATAGAGTGCATCCTTAATATCTGTATTTAAATATCTCTAGTCTGGTATTCTTACCCAGCTCTCGCAAACCAGTTGGCTAGGGCTGGTAGAACAACCTGGAAAATTGTAGGTTGCCATATCATTAGATAATATATAAAATGCTGTTGTACACAGGAAAACACCTCCATTCTGAATTTGAGTTAAAGCCTTCTGAACATTGCTATACAACCCCTTTGGTAAACCAAATGATTTATAAGAAATTGTGCCGTGTACAATTAATATAATAAACAAACAGCACTAAAATACTGGGAAATTTTATTAAATGGTATCAACTTTTGCATTTATAATGCTGTATTGCTGATTATTTGTGACGCTTTTTTTTTTTTTGAATCTATTTTGTCTATTGTTTTTACTGTGCTTATTGTCTGGATTGGTAAAACAGACAAATTCCTGCTCTGGTGGGACGAAAAAGTTATTTTCAAATCTATTCTACGCTAGTCATGATCTCAGTATTGAGTAAAATAATTATTAGTATCATTTAGCCATTACTGTGCAGCCCCAAGCTTTGTTAGAAAGTCACATATCAGGTTTGTGCATCAAGCAACATACTATACAAGTTGTGAATGAATCTGCATACTGTACAAAGCATCCAGTTTCATCTCTCTTTTCTTCTTCCACCTATTCACGATGCTCTTTTGTGTGAAAAGGTGAGCAACAAAAAACCTAATGCGACTCATCAGATGAGACGTCATTTGAGAAAATTCCATCCAACTGGTTCCCCAAGATTACATTGTGCATGAACGAATTATGGAAATCCACTGAATGAAAAAAGGGTGTGTATTTGTATCTGTGTGCGTGAGTGCATGAGAAGAAATCTTCACATGCTCAGGTAAGGATGAGAAGCAAGATTTGATCCATGTGACTGACAGCAGAATGGAGAATTTGCATTTGAAAGGGATTCCTTTTCTTTTCACACGAAATAAAGAGATACCAGGTTCCTCCGCATACCGGGCAGTGCGTGATCCAGTATGAGGTTGTAAAAGGAAGTCTTAAAATCTGCAATTGCACATAAAACACTAAAATGACTCCTCATAGAGGTTTAAATCTAATGACAAATTATGCGAAGATTGGGAAATATTATTCAGTGTCATTGCAGGCCCTCATGGGATCCACTGAGGAATGCATTGTGGGAATATGTCAGCTGGAACGCACCCTGCAATGTAGATGGCAGCCAAGTATACACTCCGGGCTTGTTAACAAGTGACTCAGGTTTCACTGGGGCTTGTGTGTGCTCAATAACGAGGAAAGGTTAATAAGCTGATCAATGAGGAAGAGATTGTGCTGCCTGCTAAAGCTGGTAAACAATACCAGAAACTGCGGCTCAGGGCTGAGGGATGGGACACATGTAACCTGTAATTTGCCCCCGCCTGGCGTGAACATGAAAATGAGCTTGTGCATGAATGGATTAGGAATGGGGATGGGCGAATGTGAGAATGTAGCCGACACCTCGCGAGTGAAACGTAGATTACAGTAATACGTGTCTGCATCTCTCATTCCCCTCCTCGCACCTCCCCCCTCCCTTTGCCTGATGCGATGACAAGTCATGCTGTAATGAGTTTTATAAAGATTTTTTTCAGATCGATGTCCCAATCAGTCAGCCATCGCCTGTGAACTGTGATTCACATGCCGTTGTCTGCCCTGCCAGTCGATAGATAGAGGAACCATTGATTTTTATTTTCCTTTGGCAGGCGAGGGCCCAGGCTGGTTGCTGGTGCAGGTGGAGGTGGTGGGGGGAGGAGGAGGAGGAGGAGAAGGAGGAGGAGGGGTTCCTTTGTCAGGAGACACTGATTAACTGAGAGGAAGGACAGACAAGGCCTCACCAGGGATACAGCCTTGAGAGCAGAGTATGTGTGTGTGTGTGTGTGTGTGTGTGTGTGTGTGTGTGTGTGTGTGTGTGTGTGTGTGTGTGTGTGTTACAGTATGCTCTCACATATATGGGTGAAACCAGTGCAGGCAGAGGGTTTGTTTACATTCTCACAGGTAGCAGATTTCTCATTTATGTTGAGCAGCAGGGACATTATGATAACAGCGCACTACTGTCCAATAGGAGAGGTCCTTGAGCTGTGTAATATCATGCCATTAGCACTAATATACAGAATATTAAACATAACCAGTAATGAAAATTAGAAATTGGGCTATTGGATGCATTCATTAGCAGAGTTTTTCTATGGCAACTTACTTCCTCTCACAGATGGTTAGGTTAGGTTACCTATTAGCCACAAAAACAGCTTATAAAAATCTATTTTTCCTCATTAATATGGAAATTAAGGTACTTTAGTGCCCACTGCTTCTCTGTAGTTGTGGTTTCTTTACCTTTTATTACTCAAAAAGTTAAAACCTTAACAAAATTGTGTCTACACTGGATCTGGAACAAATAGTAAATTAATCAATTAGTTGATTGGCAGAAGAATAATCATTTATTCATGCAAAACCAAACATTCTCTATAGTTATATATTTTTTATGCTCTCCTATATGTGATAGTTTTAGCTCTTTGTGCCTAAAAAATTTATTCAAATGAGACAATCTGAGAAATGTTGAAGTAAAAACTTACACTTCTAACACCTGTGATGCCTGTATACAAGTAAACACTGCTTCTTTAAGGAGTCACAAGCCCAAAAGGATAGGATGTGTGATGTTAAACTGAACTGATTGTTGGACAAAACAAGATATTTTAACTTTGAGCTTCAAGAAATTTAAAGCGATTAATGTAGAAAATAATCAGCAGATAATGAAAATGATTCTTAGTTACAGCCCTCGTCAACACACCAGGCCAATATGAATACATATATGAAACCATCTCACATAGCATGTATTAAATACGATCCCTCATGAGCCCCTAGTTGCCATTTAATTTGTGTTTTGCTTTAAACTTCCCCTCTACAACGGATGATAAAACATGATCTTGGGGGTAATTCTTACCACTCGGCGCATGCTGCAGTCCAAGCCTTCCTGCAGGGTTGTAGAGGTATCCCGACCCCATCACCCATCCCTGGGACTCTGAGTGTGGACTGAGGGGAGTTTTAGCTAAGGGGCTCTGTCTGCTGTTGGATCTTGCCAGCAGGGTGTTGAGACAATTGTGCGCGCTGGGGTCGATTCTTTTGTGGTGGACGTGGCGGTTGTTGACGCTGGTGCCGGCGAACGCGGCCTCATTCACAAACACAGAGCCGTTACCAGCGTGGTCTCTTGACTGACTTGGTGCTGAGTCCTGAGGGAGAGAGAAAATGTCATGGTCACATTTTGAAACAAAGCTGAAAGATGAATATCAAGAGCACAGCCAACGGACAATCAGATGAAGCTCATATTCTTTCCTGGATGAGAGATTCTAAAGCAGGAACGCTGATGGACTGCATGGTTTCTACACCTGTGAAACCATTCAACAATGCACCTTTGTAATGCACTGAGGCATTTGCATGAGGGAGCAGGAAACACATTTTATTTAACGGGTACAACCTATAAAAGGCTCTGTTAACAGACCTTTAGATCAGTTTCTCTAAAACTATAATTAAAAAGGCTGGTTTTGGGTGCTTCACTGGGTGCTAGTATTTATATATATATATATATATATATATAAATACACATATATATTTATTTATTTATTTTTTTTTTTATTTTGGTTTTATTTGTCCAGGCTTTTAGATATCTGTGTCTGACATTTCAGCCTCCACCCTGATGCAGTGGAAATGAATAGAATTTCACTTGTACCTCACAGCATTTAAAAATGACTTACTCTGATTGGACTTTACTGTTTTTATAGGGACTATTGTCCAGGATACGCAGAGGCTATTTCTAAAAAAACACTTTCAGCGCTGGATATCTCAAACCCGGGACATATAAAACTTAAATGCATGACCAAATACAACCGAAGGTGAGTGGGAAAAAATGTTTATCATCTGGGTGAAGTGACTCTTTAATGTGCAGTGAAAGGTGTCACTGCTGCAGATTGCTCAAGGCCCCTGCATCCCCTCCTCCTGTCCTCTCCTAATAACCCCTCTCTCCAGCTCCATCTTCCCATCAACAAGGCCTCCTTTCCACTGCTGAGCAGAGGCAACATAGCTAATTAGAAATGACCTGAGAGCCGGTGTGTGTATATGTGTGTGTGTGTACGTCATCCGATCTGTCTCTGACCCTGTGAACTGCTGCCTCTGGCTAAAACATTAGCATGGGAACATTAGGACATGAACTGCCTCCACACGCCTTTGTCAGACCACTGCTGTTAATGCAGCCTCCACACTGGCTAAAATAGATGAATGGAAATAAATAAGTTTGCAAAAAGCCAGGAGAGCCTCATCAAGTCTAGTCTGAAAAAAGCCCAAGGTGCTGTGTAAATTAATGAGGGAGAGAGAGAATATTGTAACACGAGTCTGCTCATTTGTCTGTCCATTCGACTGCTCCCTGTGTGCGTCTTTTGAACAGTCGCACCTGCTGAACTGAGCAGCACAAAGCCGTACCCAGCAGTGGCTCCCATAGATGTATGTGCTATATTAGTTTCACTGCTGCTGCTTGCGCATGTGAGCTACATTGAGACGTAAAGGGCACGGAGAACAGTGCACCCTTTATCCTTCATGCCTTCCAGCTGCGGGGGACATTTCACTGTAGTGCTTTTCAAACAAAGTGTTGATAATTTAAGTCCTCTCGGACACGATTGATTGGTTTTTTGGGCAGCGTGCCTGTGGTTTTAATTATTTTGTCGGAGCTTTTATTTGCAACGGTTTAATTATCATCAATCATTAAGATGTTTATTGGTGAGTGGAGCTGCTGGAGCACTAAGACAAATGATGCTGAAATTGCTCTCATTATCGCAGGTTGTATATCAAGAGGGGATTGAGCAACTCAGTGTAAATGAGTGAACCAACGTAACTCAGGCTGAAAGCTGTCTGAGAAAAGCTTCTCATTAATAAATTTAGCCAAGAAATACTCCATAAAAACTCCATAATCACCTCACACTCATGTCAGGGTCAAGAGTTTTAGTCAGGAGCATTACAGAGTCCTCGACCAACGCCTCGGATTAAATATCAGAAGATAGCTCTCAGTTGGGTGCCCCCCCCCCCCCTACCTGCTGCACATCTAGAGGGATGACCATGTGAGGAATCACAGTGGGCAGACTCCTCTGCCGGCCATGCCCCCAGGTCTGGAGCAGCTTTTGCTGGTTCTCCAGCCGCTCGCGCTCCCTCTCCACATTCCTCTGGCCCTCTCTGAGACGCTCCAGGCTCTGCTGGTACTCCTCCAGCTGCTCGTCCAACTCTTCCCTCTCGCGCCTCAGCCGCTCCACCTCCAGGTGGCACTGCCTCTCCCGCTCCGCCAGCCGACTCTCCTGCTCCCCCTGCTGGTTCTCCCTGGCCTGGCACTCCCTCTCCCAGCGCTCCTTCTCTTGGCGCAGCCGGTCCTGGAGACGCTGAGCCGCCACCACCTCCTCCTTCCGCTTCTCCAGGTTACGCTGCTTTTCCTGTTCTTGAAGGGTGTTTCCCCGGATGCTTGGAAGATGCGGTCGCTGCACGCGTGGGGATGGCCGACCAGTCTCTTGGAGGAGGAGCCTCTGGACCTCATAGCAGCTGTCCTGGATGGTCACTGTAGCCTGGCATAGAAAGGACAGGCAGATAGATGGGATTCATGAAGATGCAAAGGTTCAACCACCACTTAAACCACGTGGGCGTCCTCACAACAGGCAGTAAGAGAAGGTCATTTGAATGGCAAAATGTGGTGGAAATCATGATCAGGTTTTACTGGGTGCCCTGACTTTTTATGTGATAAGGCAACAGCATCTCTTTACATGGTGAAATAATCCCACCGACACCGGTAGCACTGCGGTTTTTAGCTTCATATACAGGAGTTTTGAATATGGAAATATCATTGTGATCAAAACGTCAAACTCACACAGAATCGTGCACACACATACCCTTATGCAAATACACACACACACATGTTCTCTCTGCACAAATTTACATTTTATACCAAAGAGTAGTGTTTGTGTGAATAGTGAAACAAAAGACCCTCATATATCTCAGAGGAGAAAAAAAGATCAGTGGGATTCTCGCTCCTGTAGCACACTTCCTTTGGCTTCAAACAGCCGAGTGCGGAGTTGGTTCTCTGTTTACTGAAGCTGGAGTGTGCAGGTATATTAAAGCCTTTATCTTGACTGTGTATGACACTAACATAGCATGCATACGTTCTCGGTGAGAACATAAGAGGTTTGTTTGTTTACTGACTTACTGACCGGATAATAATACCCAGCAGATGACGGCTGTGAGCAGGATGAAAAAGTAGCTGCATACTGAGTAATGCACTCACCTGCAGACTGTAGAGTAACTGGGTCAGGCTTTGGACACTTTGAGCAACCTGTAAGTAGACAAAATCGCACACAACCTGAAGATTAACAAGCCTGCTGTGTTATCAATGCAATATTTTGAGGATTTCATGTAAATGGCACATTGTTTCAGCTAGTTAATGAAATACACTTTACAATCTACTTACATGGAAGTCAAAATATTTTCCTCTCATGGCAAGCTCATGGAGAGAGATACATTTGGTAAAAGTGGCATTCATGCAACATTAGCGCCCCCTTGAGGACGCTTGGTGTCCTATAACACTGTTTAGAGTTAAATGATCACATTGCAGTTGATAAGAAAATCATTTACCTCACAGGTCACAAAAAGCTGCTCACGGTAGCACAACTGTGGCATGGTAATTGGAATAAGTCTCCATATCTATATTTAATGGAGCAATACCACTGGGAACTAAATGGACCTCTTCCTTTATTATGAGCTTATCAATGATTCATCACATTAAGACTGAAATGTAATTCTAATAGGCTGCACTGAATTATTAAAACAACTGTTAGCAATCTTGAGCCACACATCTGTGGTAAAATGGAAAGAGGTGAGGTGCAGATTCAGGCTGTAAAAGGCTATAATGACCGATAATATTTCTGCAGTACCACTGTACCTCCACCATCACAACTACAGTAATGGGGAAAACATTCCATCACATTGCTGCATCAATATTTAATTCAAAAACACCAATTTAATTCTCAATTTTTATCTATATCACAAGGTCTTACCAGAATTGCTAAAAGTTAAATGCAATTTCTATACCAGTCGCTGTGCTGTACCTTGAAGTCGATGTCATCCGTGTCTGCTTTTTGCAAGAGAGTTGGGGACTGAAGCACAAAGGCCTCTGTCCAACTCCCATCACTGGTCTCAGGGTTTTCGGGTGAAGCCTCAGAGTCTGAGGGAGAGCGTACAAGTATAGCAGGGCTGACAGGAAACACAGAGTCTGTGTCCGAGGCCAGGCTGGGACTCAATGGAGAACAGGCCTTGGATGACAGTGTGACTTTCAGGTTCTCAGCTGGAAAACAGAATACAAACAAGTGTGAAACTACATATGCTGCTTAATCAGTTAAAAACACTAAGTATGAGACTGGGAGTTCTGTTGGAAGAACACAACTCATTATTTTATGACATCCTACAAACAAGGTTCTCAGGTACAAAGAAAATGACCAATCATTTTCAGATTTTCTGGGCTTGTCCCCTTAATTTTTTCATGCTGACAAGAGATTGCTATAAAGATAATGGGAAGATTTGTAATAGGAGTTCCTTTTTTGTTACATTATACCTGAACAAAATCCTGAATAAATGTATACCACAGGATGAATATCTCTTTAAAATACCCTCCGACCAAGAACGACTAGACTGCAATTGTCATGAAATAAACTGTATGGAGAAACTAACCTTTATCCTAAAATATCTAATGAACAAAATATAAAATCGTGGGGGTAAAAAAGTTACTATAAGTGCCTATGTGATGTATCCCATTAAGTAATATGTCATTACACTTAAAATGTCCTTATATCTGCTTACAACTACAGTAGAGTGTGTTATAAACCATTTATTTATATCTAAATGTGTATATAGTACTTGTAAATGCTAAATGAGGGTTATGGTAAAGTGTTACATTCACTTTTAAGGCAAAACATCTTGCAATACCAATTTTTAATATCTTTTCTTTTCACGTTCTTGTTCTGTGTTGTCTGTGTTTGTTTCTGCAGTGTACAGTATATATGAAATGTCTCACCCTCTTGCAGAGCTGCAGCCAGCAACACGGCAGCCTGGGGCAGCTCCTCTGAGTGCGGCTGGACGAGCAGTCGCGGTTCAACCACCGAAGCATCCGTCCTCCCACTCAGAGCAGAGAGCTCTATGTAGACCTGCAGCTTCTCTTCCAGGCTGGAGCAGATCCGCTGGTCCAGGCTCGTCAGACTCTCTGGTACACAAGTTCACAGGGTTCACAGATGAGGTATTGTAAAATGTTAACTCAAGGGTGAGAAAAACCATTCAACAGTGTAAAGATCTTGAATACCTTGGCACTTATTGATCTTCTGAATACGAGCTTCAGCAGCTCGTTTCTCCTCTTCAGACTCACTTGTGTATTCTTCTTCCTCCGGACAGCTGAGGAAAGAAAGCAGTAACTGAAGGTTAAACTGTTGGTGAAATCTGAATATGTAGCACTCAACAGCCTCCTTCTCCTCAGTTTACACACACACATATACAACACAGACTTATACACACCTCTCTACAGCCTCTCTAATGAGCCTCATCCAGGTGTTCCGTTCCTCTTTGGATGATGTGTGAACCTCGTACATTTCTGGCCCGGCGGCTGATGCGCTGATCAAAAACATCCCTCTCTCCTCATTTGCTACTTCTCGCACGATTAACTTCTGCAGGGCGATGACTGGAGGCTTCTGATCCTGGAGCATGTTAAAAGTGCGGAGGAATAATATATTACATGATGTGATAAGAAAAACAGAACAGGTAATAGGGTGTAACATCATAACAGAGGCACAGCTGTTATAGCTCAGTATTTGTCTCTTCGAGATCAATCCCTTGTAATTAATGCGTGCGTACCACGGTGGCAAATGTATACTTCTGGTCTTTTTCTTGCAGGAAGATGAGTGCATCTGTGAGAAGGAGCGCCAGCACATCTATGGAAGTGAGGACAGGCAGGAAAACACTGTCATATCATCAGCCTCATCATGTATTCATATTATGCAGATGCGTGTAAAAAAATCAAACAACAAAGTATATGCCAGTGTCACCTTTGAGCCGACCAGTGGCAGTCTTCCACAGGAGCAGGCCCTGGTGTTTGAGCGTTTGTCCCGGCCCCATCATGTCCTGCTTGCGGAAGGTGTTGCCGTTCTTGAGCTTGGCTGCGCTGCGGTTCTCCATGCGGCTCCACACCTCCTGTAACCTCTGATGCCGCTCGTACTCACTGACACTCAGGTCCACGGCCGTGATCACCTCTCGAATCTGAGCCAGCGCTTTGGAAATGTCGGCGTGCTCCTCTGTTTCCTCTGAGGAAGGATAAATACATGAAGACTAAGAGAGATATCTTGTTTTACTTGTACATTTCCAACTGCAATATTGTGTATTGTGCTGTTATGACCATGTGACCGTGTAGCCAGCAGAGGGCAGTAGATGACTGACCTTGAGTATATTGTAGGATCCTTTCCAGCAGCACTGGGTACTTTGTAATCCTTTGGGTTACCAGCAAAATGCACTCTGGGATCTCCCTCCGTCTCACCAAAGAATTATTACCTTGTTGCTTGAAAAAGTAACATCGAGAGTTATGCTACATCTCCCTAAGCAGATAGGAACTGATTCTTTTAGTTTAGTTTGGTTGAAAGCAGGATACAAAGAGATGCTCTGGGAAGGTTAAGTACCTTAATGAAGTTCTGAAATCTCTTGTTATGCTGCTGGAGCTCTTTGAAAAAGCTGACCGCTTCGTTGTGACGACTGCAGAATTCTCCATATACCTGCTTCATTTTGTCTCTGTTCTCATCTGAAAACTGCAATAAAACACACACAGTGATTCACACCCTCACTGGTTTCCATCTATTACACCTAGGAGAAAGGTAGTCCCAGAAGAGCGGCTAACCTGTTGGAGCAAGACGTCTCCGATTTGCTGGATGAGGTAGTTCCTATGTCCCTGCGGCCGGGCTGAGCTGTGTCGCCGCTCCTTCATGGAGGCAAAGAAGGCGTGGTGGAAGAGGAGCAACTGGTCCAGACAGGGGAAGACCCGCTCCACCGCTTCTGTATCCAGCTGCACTTCCTCCTTCATACCTCGCCGGAAAACCTCGGCCATGATGTGTAGCGTCTGTAGGTGGTGAAGCTCAGTCTGCATCAGCTCTGCGTCAGGGTCACACATGTAAAAATTCAATGTATGTGTCACATAAAGACATGAATTATATCCTTATCTGTTACTCAATCGTAGGAATTTATGACAATTATATGTGAATACAACAATTTTATATATGAAATACTGACACTGGCAGAAAATGACACATTCCAGTGGTCTTCTTTCACAACTCTAACATCTGCTTACCGTAGATAACATCCTGCCTCTTGACAGCTCGTTTATCCTGCTTCTTGCAGAACTTGTGCTCTACTGTCAGACTCCATGACTCAGCCTCGTAATCCACAGCGTCAACAGACATGTCGCTGTGGATATACGCATCCACGCAGTCTATGGAGGGAGAGGATTCAGATCAGTCAGTGTTCATAACATTTACTGAGACTTTCACCCATCTCAATTTACTTCTTAATTACCGGCTCTAATTATATAATACTGGTAAAAAAATATTAATAATAGTAAACAAATTATTTACAAATGTGTATGATGATATGTGAGTAATACATACATTCCACAAATACAGACCAATTTGAACAGATTTTACAAATAAATAAAACAACCCAACTTGAATAAATGTCAGTATTCTACATATACATATATATCTGACTTAAGGTCCATGAATCAAATGCATGTTGCATTTAAGTGCTGGTGGAAAACTTGGATACATTTTTTGCTTCCCATTGCATTCTTGTAGAAATTCAAAGTAGGGTTATGTATGTTTTTCCCCAAACCATACATGGGCTCCTCACCCATTGATCAGACAATAATCAAAGTAAAGTTTTACTTGTAATATTTCGGTGTCATGTGGCTTTAATTTGTAACACTGTGAATTACTCACAAATCGTCTCATTTGTTTTTAAAAAACAATGTCTGAAAATTACATTTTTAAAATAATAATTTTCAATCTTCAAGTCTGTCCAACCATTTTCTGTTTTGTGCGTTACAGTAGCATTTAAACTCATAGATGCATAGTCAGCAGCTTATTTGCATTTTCTCCCCACTTTTTCTTCAGTTTCTAGTACCGGATGCTTTTCTGACCTGTGCTGGTTACAAAAGGACCTTGTAAACTACATTAGTCAGCATCTTCTCACAGCAGGAAACAGATTAACGTTTGGGTGCGTGAGGACATAAATTAAGTATTTCTCTATGGAAATCTGAAAAAGTGAATACAATGAGCCTTATACCTTCTCCAAAGGATGAGTCAGTGGAGGTGGAGGACACTGGAGTCGGCAGGAGCTCTTCTGATCGGCTGGTCACCTTGGAGGCATCAGACTCTGTCTCTGAACCCTCGCTGAGCCGACTGTTATACAGAGAAGAACATAGACAAGCATTATTACCCCTTATTTTTTTAACCAATATGCCCACGTCATATCATGTAATTTAAAGTCTGAGAGCTTTGTGACCTGTCACTGTTCGCGTAACTCCCAGAGAGGGGGCTCAACTGGGTCGCAGTGTCTTTCTTCTCCTTAGGGGCCATGACAGGTAGAGAGGTGGAGATGGGGATGACACACTGAGGAGGATTGTCTCTAACTGTGAAATCTGCAGGAAAAGCAAAGAGAATGAACAAGAACCATCCCCAGTGCAACCAAAACATAACAGGACATTTCTCGTACAACATGGTACAACAAAACAAACAAAAGAGCTTGACAGAAAAATAGTTCATGGCCGACGACCCTTGTGTTGTAAACTCACTCTGTGGGAGGGATGCTGTCCTGTTCTTCACCATGGTAACTGCATACTTATCCTGAAGTTTCTAAGTAATACAAATTAGAGAGGCTGGTTACGGCATATAAACAATTGGCACCAGGAAAAGGCTCCAGAAGAGATGAGCAGTTCAAACCATTTTTTTATTCCAATATTTCAAGACAGTACTCACCTTCAGACATGGGGGGACAGATTCCTTACAGCCCTTATGGACAATAGCAGGGCAACCTGGGGAAGAAAGATATTTTCAAGTTTATGTACATAAAGGTAAGCCTCTTAATAGAGAAAGTGTTCAAAACCTTTACTACAAGTAGAGCATTGAAATTTAAATAAAAGTATGTAAGTATAATCAGGAAAATGTACTACAAGTGAAAGTGTCAATGCAGAATAATGTCTTATGTGACTGTAATACTACAAAATATAATAGTTATATTATTAGATTATTATCACTCATGTGTTTTTGGGTGGTTGAGGTAGAGCTAATTCTCTATTATTTTGTATAGGACTGCAACTAATTATTAATTATTATTTTCATCATAGATTAATCTGCTGATTATTTTCTCCATAAATAGATTGTTTGGTATGTAAAATTCTGAAAATTGTGAGACATGCCGTCACAATTACCCTTTTCCAAAAATGACAGTTTCACAATGCTTTTATTTTGTCCAACTATCACAAGTGTGAAGCTGGAACCATAAACCAAATTTCCGGATTACATTTCTATCAATTGACCGATGGGTTCAGCTGTACTTATATATGTATATATATATACTGTTGGGTACTTTAATTCATAACAAAGCATCATATTTATCATCATATTTGTACAGTAAAAGCTGTCAGAAGAATGTAGCGGAGTAGAAGTAGAAAGAAACAAGTCAAGTAAAGTACTTAAAATCACCCATTTGGAGGTTGATTACTTGGTTGCATTCCACCACTGGAATTACACTATTACTTACTTGAGCAATGCAGCAGGTCCTTTCCAGATGCTGGTTTCTCGCACACCACGCACACGGTGGGGCCTAAACAGGAGCCTGTGTTAAACCGATGTCCATTCAGCTGCCTATCCTTGGCCTCTCTGTCCTTCCCTTTCCCCTTGGAGAACCATGCCAGAGACATAGACGTAAACAAAGAGGCCATACAGACAGAAACAAAACGTGACTGACAACTACAGCCAAGAACTCTGAGCAAAGCAGGCCTTAATTCATATTTTTGTACACTGGAGTGAAGATCTTTGTCAAGTTTCTATTTGCAGAGTAAACTCTCCCACGTGTAAGTAAATATATGAGCCTGGAAGGAATCCCTGACTTTTTCCAAAACCGTATGAAAGTCCACCGAAAAGGAAATGGAGCGCAGCGTAAACAGCATATGCATGTCGGGGAGGGCTTCCAGTCTCTGTGCTGACTTAACAACAGAGGATTAATCATTGAAAGGAAAGAGGCCGGACACCATGTTTGGTCTGTCACTCTGACCTTGAGTTATTCCCAGAAACATTTCCTGGTTGTGTCTCCCACAGAGCAGACATATGGAGTCACATATTCCATACCTGAGTCTAAACCTGGGGACACAGGCTTTTACAAAAAAATCTACAATTACAAATACTTCTGAAGGCATAAATAAGTCAAATTTAATCAGCCAATACATACCTGTCTAGGTTTTGTTCAGTTATTTCTTATATTCCAGTTTTAATTTAGATTTTGTGTTTAATGGCTGTAACCACAGAGGCGTGGAATGCTGGTGGTTTACCTTGGTCTTGTTGCGGGTACTGGACATCCGGCTCTTGAGAAAACTGAAAGTGCGAATGACTTTGTACTTCTCTGACTCCACCTTTGTCGGGATGTTGTACTTATCCAACTCCTCCTCTTCAATTCTGATGGAAAATGAAAACAAAGTCAGAGCAAGTTCTCAACCCCGCAGTTGTGTTTTATAACTCACAATACTAAAACTGTTGGTCTGCAGAAGAATCTCTTCTTGCTGAATCAACAGGACAACGAGAGCAAGTATGATGGACTTGGTGTAGGTGTACAGATGCTTATAGTGCACAGCAAACAACTGGTTAATGTCATGGGTTGTGTTTAGTTCAAACTTCAACATTTCATCCAAAAAATACAATTTCATCTGATACTGCACAGCATGTAGATTCTGTTAAAATAAATGTTAATGAAAGCAAATGACATAAAATTCTGTTAAAAAATAAATCTTTGTTAGTCGCTAAATTGGGATACAAAATTATGTTAATTCTCAGCGACATTGCTCTGAAAGTAAAGTAAAATTAGTAGAATTGTTAGAGGCTGGATACATGCACAACAACAAAGGCAGACTTTTGGTGCACAGTGTTACGATAAAAGACAACCTACTGTAATTATTGTTCTGCTGCTAGGGGAGGAGAGGAAAGGAGAGGAGGAGAAGAGACGAGGCAAGGACAGTAGAGGGAATAAGGACAGGAGCGGGGAAAAGGAGACAAGAGGAAAAGGGAGAAGAGGAGACGAGAAGAGGGCAGACAAGAGGAAATAAAAAGGAGACGAAACGAGGAGAGGAGAAGAGAGGAGAGGCGAGGAGGGGAGAGGAGGTTGCAGTTTCGTCAGGTGGTTAACATGCTGTAAGTTTTGGTAAGGAGAGAAGGAGAAGAGAGGAGGAGAAGAGACAAGGCAAGGAGAGTACAGGAAAAAAAGGAGAATGGGGGAACAAGGAGAGGAGACAAGGTGAGGAGAGGAGACAAGGATAGGAGGCAAGAAGAATAGAGGAAACAAGGAAAGGCGCACAGGGGGAACAAGGAGACGAGAGCAGACAAGAGGAAACAAAAAGGAGACGAAACGAGGAGAGGAGAGGAGGTTGCAGTTTTGTCAGGGCGTAAACGTGCTGTAAATTTTGGTTAGGGTTAATCTGTTTGACGTGGACGGTCAAGGATGCTAGAACAGTCGAACGGGGCTCGACCCCCCCCCACATACTCTTTGAGGAACTCAGACAGGGTGAGATGCTGGAGGGACTCTGCCAGCTCCATGCTGCCCTCATCATCAGCAGACTGGGCTCGCTTACGGAACCTAATCTCCCTGCAAAGGACAGCGCACACACACACGGACATACACTGGTGTTTTAACGCTGATGAGAGGCCACAAAGGCCCAGGACACATGCTATAATTAAATATTAAAGAAGAAACTTCCCTTAACAGAAAACAAAACAGAAATGGAAAATAATAATGCTGTCTGCTGTTCTTTTATCCCTGATTCTGTCTAGTATCTTCCACTAGGGGGAGCTACTGAAGAGTGGCAGTTCAATTAGGGTATGTATACATGAAGTGGCAGAGGAAATACTGTATCAATTAGCATCTTTCAACAGTGAAAATAGGCTGATTGGAATGGGAAAAGTAAAGGATCTTTCCTTTAAGGCCATATAAAGCAACACTGTGTTCATTATTTTATACTAGATTGACCATAATTTGCCCGTGCTTTGTAACATACAGTACTTTCATTATGTGTTGCGACATGCACCCATGACACAGCCGGTCATATCTGAAAATAAGTTTCCCAGGGGCAAGATGACACTGTAAGCCATAGATGAAAAACAGAGCGAAGGCATTGTGCATTAAAAACAGGGCTGGAAGTAGCTCAGGGTCACACTGATATCTGTACGTCACTACCTCTGTTGTCACTCGAAGACACAGAGAGGATCAAAACACCAGTGACACACACGAAACCAGCTCTGCTTCACAAGGACAAAAGAGCTTTATAAAAGGCGGCAGCAAACTTCACAGAGTACCGCTGTCACCAAGCAACCCGGTTGTCATGGTTACACACATATGTTGCTCTTGGCCCTGGGGATTACATATCTGATTAAACGTGCTGTCATTTTAATGAAGAGCAAAAGCCCAGATGAGCAAAGCCAATAAGGAAGGCTGAGACGTTTGGTATTTGGAAAAATAATAATAAATACCTTTTTTCATGCGACTGCTCTGATGTACCGAATGCTCTTTGCTCTGTGAACAGAAAGAATGAGGAGAAGTTGTTAAACTAATTGTTCAAGAACTCGAAAACGGAAAAATGGACATGAAAAAAAAAGAGACAAACTCCGGCAGCATAACAAATATTTATCCATTCTTATTCACTCAGACTGGGGAAGAACATTTTTTTCAAAGTAAATATCATAAAGTCAAATATACATTTCATATAATGTATAAAAAATCCTGTCAGGTTTCATTTCAAGCCGGGTGGAGCTGTTCACCGTCTGAACAGGTTCACATAGAAGCATCTGAATACAACCACATTTAATATGCAAAGCAACAGAGATGATCCACAGGTACGTAAACAAAGACAGAACAACAGCACAGACAGACACAAAGCACTGAGCCCTCAGAGACACTTCACGTCCCTCACAAGGCTGCACATTTATGTCACTGCAACTGTGATTTCTTCTTGCACTCCCACTCCCACCTATTCTAATCACGATAAAGCTGTGCCAGGAAAGCCACGCACAGACACGCATGCAAACACACACCAAAGGTTATTATAGTTTCATGATTCTAATTTAATTTGTACTTGTACTGATCGTTGTTTTTTAATTCACCTTTCTAATTCCAGCTGATTTTTACTTTTAGTTTTTCGTTTTTTCAAAATGAGCTTTTTCTTGGATAAATATTCACAGATTTAACATTTCAAAGAATTATAACCTTTGTGTTTTCAACTAATGTTATATAAAAGCCCTTAAATCTGGAGAGCAAGTGGCAGTTCTGATCTGAAAAAAGTCCTGCTCTCTCCACACAGGAGGATAAAAACTAAACTTCAAAGTCATGTTTCTGTTTTGGTTATATTTGAACCAGGCAACATTTGGTAGTTACGGAGCAACATTAGCATTCAGTGGAGTCATGTTTTTGGCCACTTGATGAATGTAAATTCAATATTCACTTAAAATATCTGAAAATATCAAGCTTTTTAGCAGCTAAATGCTCCACTATGTTCACCAGATAGTTGCTAACTTTGTTCAGTGCTGGGCAGGTGGTATACAGTGAGTGTATCAGAGCTGTATCAGTGAAAACAGGTAAAGATGAGGAGGAAAAGATGCTGATGAGAGCGGTGAGAATGAACCAAAACAGTGAAATCTGAGGGGCTGTGAAACCAAAACAATGAGCTAAAACATGCCACAAGGGGAACTGCAGGTCAGGTGTCATGTGTTAGTGATATGCTCCATTGTTAATATAAAACTATTGATTATAGCCACTTTAAAAGATCTTTTGCATTCGAATCAAGTCAGCCCACCCACACACATACACACACACACACACACACAGGCACTGACACTGACAGTGGCGGCGCTGGGCCTCAGCGCAGTGTGACGGCTGCAGGTGTCCAGTACTTACTACTAGGGTGGAGCAGAGACAGAGATTTAGACAGAGAGAGGGCCTGAAGGAGAGATCGGCTGTGGCTGACACTGTGGAGCACGGCATCTACAGGGCACAGTGGACAGAGGGCTACTCACACATCAGCTACAGAGGATGTAAACTATCACCACGTACAGTCAACTCCAGTCTGACAGCTCTTAAATCACTGTTCATGCAGGGGTGTAGCCTCATTGTGAATATTTGGAGAAAAAAAGCCCTTTGTTAAAGGAATAGTTTGACATTTTGGGAAATATTTACTTATCTGCTTTCTTACCAAGAGATTAAGATGATCAATGCTCATGTCTGTGCTTTTTCAGAAATGTTATGACAACCTTGTCTGAGGACAAAACTCCAGGAAGGCACTGCCCCCAGAAAAGAAATAATGCAGCATATAATCCCCCATCAATCCACATTGGAAAAAAAAGCTAAGACAAGCTAAACTAAGCTAAGTGTCTTTTCTCTGTAGCTTCACATTTATTGATCTTCTCATGGCAAGAAAGCGAATAGCAAATATCTCTTTAAGCACATATTGGGAGTTGACTGCATTATGTTAGTAGTGAGACTTTCTACAGTTAAAAGCAGGTTTAAAATGAACAAAAGGTAAAAAGTCAGGTGCAATAAATCTTGTATGAGACTACACCATTAATGACACACCAAACAAATGAAGTCAGTTCTGGGTCCATGGAAACATTGTTAGTTATGAGTTAGACTAGATTTCTAACCAAGTTAGGGAGTCCCAGTGATACTGACCATGGCTGATATCTGAGGTGTGGTTGTCCCGGGAAAAACGAGCAGGACGCAAACTGATTTTGGGGGAAGAGTAGGAATACGAACGCAGTCGAATCCCCTGGTCACCCAATTCCTAGACAAGGAAAAAATATTGAAAACAAAAACATAAGACTTGCTTCTTGTGATTTTAGGAGAAGTGAAATTATCTGATGACATGGGTGAGAGGATGGTGACATGGTAGTTTACTTTTGTGGTGGGTTCACATGCTGAGGAGGCCGACTGGCTGCGGGTGCAAGTGAGGTCAGGGGATGGACGACAGCTTTCCCTTTTGTCCTCACTTTTCTCAACATCTGAAGAGAGCGGGGAAAGCGGAGACTTTGTGTCCTCTTCACTGTCCACTTCCAGAGCCACTAGACTGGGACTGGAGGAATTAACAACCAGTTAAACACAGACACACACCAGCAACGGGAAAACTCTACCTTCTGATTGGAGATATTTAATACCTGAGGTCGCAGCTGTCCATGGGCGGACTTTCTCTCTGGGTGGTCGTCTCAGAGGAGGCGGGACGGTTCAGCCTGGTGAGGGCCTGGTCAGCAGGTGAGAGTGGGGGAGAACAGGGAGAGTAGAGATCTTCAGGATAGGGTGGAGGAGTGTCGGTTGCTAGCAAGAGATCTTCTGAGTCTACTGTATCCCATAACCCGCTGTCTGTCCCTGTGCTCTCCCTGGTCACTCCGCTGACGTTGTACTGGATGTCGGCATCTTCCGCCTGAGGTAAAAGAAGAGAGAAATACATTTTAAAAAGTAGCAAAACAGAGAAGATTAAACGATCATTTGGGGTTTAATGGCAGAGGTTGATGTATGACCTGCGTCTGCTGTGTGATGGTCTGACTGCTGGTGTTGATCATGGAGAGCAGAGGGTCTGTAGCACACTGGGTGAACTGGCTCTGGACTCCACTGGACTGCACGGGATGCCCATTTACTGTGATAAACACACAGTAGAATCTCAGGATAGCTTCAGTATAGTTTATAATCATTAAAACAACTTCTCTTTGTCTCCACTCCATTTTCCCTGTTAAGATCAACGACTCAACGGTACTGTACTGTACAAGATGTCTACCAGGAATTTGTTTTGATCCTGCTGAATGATTTACTGCTACAGAACATGGTGAGAAGCCACTTTTCGTTACCATTATTCATCCTAGCAGCAGCCAGACACTTAAAAGTCTGGCCGAACACAGGCAGCAGCTCTCAGTGCTGCCTGAGACAACCAGATATCTTAACCAGACAACAAAAACACATCAACAACCATATAAAAGAGAAAACTTTAAAATGCCAGAAAAGATAAACATAAAAAAAAAGAATAAAAATAAACCAACATTTAATAATATATCGACTTCAGTTCTGATAAGCCTTCTGTTTTGCTTCTTTCTAGTAATTCCAGATCATTGTGCCATAATTCATTGATCTTTCATCATTTAAATGTCAAGGCTTAGAGTAAAGAAAGGAAAATGGGATGAGACACTGCATACCTACTCCCTGTTTGACCTTTAAAGGTTTGTTTTCATAGAAATCTCCACATATCAACCTTACCAGCAGGCTCTCTATTTGCTGGAAAAAACAGGATTATTGGCTTTTGTTGAGTCATTTATTTGCTGAACAACAGTCATGTACACAACCTCTCTGTATGATATTGATACACAGGGTAAAAAATAACATGACTATAACACCTGGGCTCTGTTTGAGCTGTTTAAAACCAGTGTTTATCACAGAAACTCCTTTGTTCTGTTTTGTCCTCCTTTATTTTTGGCCCCAGTACAGGTGAGTCTCCAGAGGCGACATGCATAGCAAAACAATGACATTCCCATCAGCCTCAACTATACTCTGTGATTGGTGCTTATTAATGTTAGCATGCTACCATGCTAAACTAAGTTGAAAAAACTACCAAACATCAGAATGTTGCCATTGTCACTGGGAGCATGTTAGCACGGTGACGTTAGCATTTAGCTCAAAGCATCAATGTGCCACATTTCTTTTTTTTTATCCCACCCAGCTTTAACCTAGTGCAGGCCCCCAGGATCAGCGCTGACCCGCACGTCTGCAAGGGCTCAGCGGCAAACTTTGATATTGCAAGTTACATGATGCCATAGGGGCCAAAAAGACTCCGTAGGGAACAATCCCATACATAAAGTCAAAAAATGACATACACGATTTATATAGTATATATAAATCACCATGTTTACACCATATCATATAACCCATCAGACTGCAGACTGTCTTATTCAATGACATTCTTAAGTAACACATAATTCTTTTGACGATGGAAATAGCGAATGAGTGAGCCATCTCGCTTCCTTCTCAGCTCTGTTTACAGATGCACATCCTCAGTACCAATCAGGCGGGATGTACAGATTTACAAGCATGGCTGTGTAGACCCTTAGTGTTGTTACTTTTTAACATGAGACACGAGAAACTAGTAACTATAGCAGTCAAGCGTATATAGTGCACTTAAAAACTACAATGTTTCCCTCTGAAATGTAGTAAAGCAGAAGTACAAAGTAGCATCTTCTCAAGTTAAAGTGTAAAAAATGTAAAGGTATTTCAACTATAACAATGTGGAAAATAACCTCCCTTGTTGAGAAGCCATTTTTATAGCTCTCTGTGCACTTTCCACCCAGATTTTGATGTCTGGACCAACCATGCCAGCATTAGTGTAAGGGAAATCCTGGGCATCACAGAGGCATTTCCTCTCTGCTGCTCTCACACAGTGAAGCCATTAGCATGGAGCTAAAACATACAAGGCACACTTCTTATATCCACTCATCGTGTGTATCTTGTTTTCTCTATATGTCTCTGTCTGCCTATTTGCTCAAATCAAACTGTCAGTGTGCATACCTCTTTCCACACAAATCTCTCCTCTGTTTCATTTACAGGATGGTGACAGATTGAGGCAGCACCAGTCTCAGCTGGTAGACTAATTGTCACACTGGTTAGCTCCAACAATAACTGACACTCCTGAGTTATGTCAGTGAAACCAGAGAAAAACTTACGATCATTTCAACAGATCTGGAAAAAACAATAACTCTGGATGACAACTTTGTACCACAGCGTCTTCGAGGCACTTCACATCCCAACAAAAGTATTCAGCTCAACAGTGAGTTTGATGACTTGAGCAACACCGAAGAATCTGCAGTCTGCTTAAGGGGGATCAATGCTCCTGGGTTGTCACTCATCACTACTTCACGAAGGAGACACACTTCAGTTTATGGTCACAAAGTTTATAGGCTACATTCAGCAGCACCAGGGTCCCTCTAGAGTTTACAGCAAACTCTTCATTCTTCCACAACAACACACAGGAAATTAACATTCACAGTAACCGTGGCAACACCTGAAACATTTTGAGCATCCTCCTCAAATGTTTTACTAGCCTGTGAGTGTTTCAGCTAGCCAGGCCTGTACAATCTTTTGTGCACGTGTGTGGTTAAAGAGAATTCAAGCTTAATGTATGTAGCTCGTCTAAAATGTCAGCTTTTGTAAACCTACGATATTTGAGCTTGTTAACATCCCCCCTCTCAATTCAAGTACAGAGCTCCACTGTCCAAGGGGAGTCGGGGGAGGGGATGGCAGTGCGACAAGCCAGAGGGGAGGGGGGCATTTACCAGCTTAGACAGAGTTCGAGTGGGACAAGCCTGACCCCATTCCTGTCTTTGTCCCAGTGACAGGGCAGATTTCTGAAGTCTCAGACTGAGTCATAGTGGAAGCCAACGGGTAGACCCCAACCTGCTCTGCCTGAAGGATAATACATCCATTTAATCAAAGAAAAGTGCTCATCAACCTGAGACAAAAGTGAATTTCTGTCTGTGCAACAGTAAGTATATTGATTTCCTATGATGTGATTCAAAACAGAGCTCTCCATATTGTGCCAAAGCCACAAGAGAAAACATTCCTGTCAAGGCTTCTCAACTCTTATTGCTTGTTGTTCCCACACCCTGCTGTTCAGTACAGCCACAAATATGTTGCTGTGTTTTTTTTATGAATTACCGGTTCATCATTTAAGCCACATGGTGCTTTTCTGCTTATGCCTTTGTAAAATAAAAATACTTATGTAACCAAAAGTTGATGCATGACACACGTCGTGTTGACGGCACAACATCAGGTCCTCTGGATATGACTCTATTACCCAGCAATGGAAGCCAGATGCCCAAGTATTATTTCCATAATATTAAAATGTAAATTTTGGTCTTGATAAGTTGCTGTTGTGTTTGCCGAGCCAAAATGTTGAGCAAGAAAATAATTCAGTTATCTTTAATCCTTGATATAAAAAGATCGAGAGAGAGAAGAGAAGAATTACCAGATAATGAGGATGTGTACTCTTCAACATCATCGTCGTCATCCAAAGACAGTACAAGCTGTTCTTCAAAAACCTTCAAACAAATAAAAACAATAAAAAACACAACAGAGGGCGTATTGCTCTTAGGAAAAGTCAAATATTGTTTACTTTAAAACAACACAGATACATACCCAGTTGCATGCAAAGAACCAGCAAAAAACTTTAAGGCAAGTCTATAAATATTTAGAGACACACAACACACTCGGTAGCACAGACTCACACATGTATCTGTAAGTATACTCACATTGTCCACCAGCACATGCTCTTCCACTCGGAGCTCCCTGCTAATGCCTGTGCAAAATAAAAATATTTAACCAGAAGTTGATGCATAACATGCTCTCCTCCTCCTCCTCCTCCCAGGAACAGTCAGGTCCTCTGGATATGACTCTACTATCCAGGAATGGAAAACTGGCCAATGAGATGTTGTGCTCGTGCAAAGCAGCAGGTCCAGAGGAAGAGCACATACTCCCTACTGTGAGGTTGTTATTTCCAGAGGATTAATGGATGGCTACTGAAGACGGGACAGGGTTAAGGTCAATACTGAGGTACACCTACTGCTTCCCTTTATGAGTCGATACTGCCATCTGCCATCTCTATGGTTACCAAAAACAGTGGCCACAGGTTAATTGAGAGCTACCAAATGTGTGTGCATGTGAGTGTGTATGACAGAGAAAGGCAAACCGAATAATAAAAGAGGTAATGGCAGCACTGAAGATCTGCAAGGGTCTCTCTCTGTGTGTGGTTGCATGCCAGCCTGAGCATGTCACCCCAGGAAAACAATAACACAATCTGCTCTGTACACTCAGAAGAAGAAGAAACACACGTGTAAAAGAGAGTGCTCCTTTTATGGTGTCTGTTGGAAATGTTTTCTTAGTCTCTTTAGGTTGTAAATGATGGATGTCTGAACATACAAATGTTTGCTCAAGTGGATCTGTGGTGGTTTGTTTTGCACCGCCCTTCAGTGAAGTCCCTGCACTCTGCATAACCGCCACACACAGACAGCAAATAAGAGCTGTTTGTGCATGCAGTGATGGCAATATCGGGGCTGCAGCTAATGATTATTTGTATTATTGAGCAATCTGTTGATCGTTAGAAAAGAGTAAAGAAGATGGCCATCGCGATTTCCCAGACCCTGAGGTGACGTATTTAAATTGCTTATTTTGCAGAAGTCAAAACAACAGTCCATAATCAAATATATTTAGTTTAGAGTGACATAAAAACAGAGAAAATCTGCATTAAGAAACCAATTCATATGTGAATTAAAATATTATAATTAATGGATTATCCAAATTCTTATAAATCAACTAATTGACAACACATTTAAGGACTAGACATTACATCTGTGAGTCCTGATGAGTTTCTGTCACTGTGTGTCTCTCGTATCTCTGCGTGTGTGATGCTTATTTATTGCAGCTCATGTTACACAGCTGCTACATCCATGGGACAGCTAGCATGTGGCACATAAGGGAGAATGCTGGTAATCCACATGTCTGGATTGAGTCTCTCAAGTAGGAGTATCATGGGTAAACACAAAGTTGATTACAAGTACTTACTTATTGAGTACAGGTTCAAGTACTTGTACTATTCGTTGTAAAATAAGTAATTCTGCTCAGAAATTCTTGATGTAGAATTGCACTTAACTACTTTCGCATGCAGGTTGATCAGGATAGTCACTGATAACCAAACCTCATTATCAAACGGCTGCAAAGTCTGAAGGTAATAAATGGCCCCTGTAAACAGGAATTGAATTAATAAAATCACCTTACCTGCATCACTAGGAAGGGATTCGTCTTTGCTTCCCATGTCTGCCTCACTATCAGTTCTGAGCACATTGATCTGGAACAATAACAGATCTTAAGTTAACACAGTCACACTGTAAATTACACAAGGAAATCAGCAAATACTAGCCAAAAGCAAAGATTTGTGATGTTATACAGTTTTATGGTCATACTGCCATAATTATTGACTACAATAATGTTAATGCTGTAAAACTGCTTCAGCAAAAATCTGTAGAGTGACTAATGAGATCAAATATTTCATAACATAATGCAAGTTCAGTCTGAACGAGCTACTATTACTGCATCCTGATCTGCCTGTCCTTGTTATATTACCCCTTCATACCCTCTGATTTACAAACTGCAATCGCTGCAGTGTTGTGTTTACTGTTACTTGCTCAACCCTTATCAAAATGTATGATTGCCCGTTAAAGGGTGTGAGAGTCAGAGGGTTTACTGTTTACACAAGCCCAAACAAAACTGGTGCAAATGGCGTTATCTCAACGGCAACGACACATTACATCATGCACAGAGACGCATGGGAATATTTATTAGCCATTTGTGTGCTATATTGTAAAGCAGATGTGATTGCGATAAGGATTTTAAACAAAGGTGGTTCACTCTCACCAGTTTGAGGATGCTTTTGTCTCCCAGTCTGTCTCGGAGGATCGTGATGCCATCCTGAGGGCAGCTGCCGGGTGTCTGCCGCACAGTCAGGGTCAGACAGTCCGTCCTGGGACAATACCTCAGCATGCAGGAGTTGTCAGACCATACACACCACACACCTGGAACAGGGCCGACTACAGGACCTGGAGGACTGATGAGGCGAGACAAAGACGCACCCACAATTAGAATACATATCAGAGGAAGTGAAGTTAACATAAAGTGAATTTAATGAGAACAGAAAGGAGCCTCCCCTATGAATAAGCCTTATCAGAAATCTTCATTAGTCATCATTTACTTTGCCTTCTCAAACTCTATCTGTACAACTTTACCACAGAAGGTAAAAACGTTGGGCATATTAAACACATTTTAGGTGTTTAAAGGAGAATTTTGTGTACATTTCAGTCCTTACTAATCTATTCCACATACAGCTCCTGTTACTTTCTAAAACCAGCAGTCACATTTTGAAATATGATGTCTGAAGGAACTCTACTGTGCAGTCTATAAACAGTTTTATTTTCTTTTGCTGCTTGAGCAGATTTCTGTACTTGTCTATAAAGGACAGATGGTTTTAACTGAGTCTCGTGTTTTCCTTTGCTTATCGAGTGGATTTATGTTGTATGTGTGTTATTTTACCAATGAAAAATTCCTGATAAGACAAAGGTGTTTGATGTTTGCATGTGTGGTCTTCTGATAAAGTGGTGGGCCTCCCTGTACTGATAATGTCTAAGTCATGACTAACTTGTTTTTGGATGATGTGTTGTTTCCAGCAGCTTATTAATATAAAATAATAGCATGAGCTTCATTCGCAATTGAAAATGATTCCAGAAAGCCTTAAAACCCCTCCTCCTCTCACAAATAAGAGATAAGACAAAATCATAGACTTACGCTGCCAGCACCCTGAACATGGCATGCTGTCCATCCTTCTGAGCCAGCTGGAGGGGTGTGTCCCCCTCCCGATTGGGTAAAGTCAATGCCCTTTGACCTCTTGGTTGGTGAATTAAGAAACGGGAGAGATGGACCAAACCCAAACGCACTGCGAGGTGAAGGAGGGTTTCTTTGGGCTGAAGCTCAGCAGCTAGAGGGAGAGACAAAGATTGAAGAGGTAATGATATGCAGGGAGAGGCACTGTGTAGTGCAGTTTTACCTGAAATGAATGCAGGAATCAGAAACTATGAAAGGCTTTTCATCTTAAAACAAATTTGCATACAGGGGTATAATATCCCGACCATGCATACTTAAGATAAAAAAATTACTGATATATCATTATCAACAACTCCCAAATTGATAGAAGCATCAGCCCCTTACAGTATGCAGAGTAAACCTTTCCATCAACCTTCAAATTAATCAGGGTTTGGCATTCTACACATGCTCTCTCAACTCTGTGCAGATGCACAGATCATCTGCTGCATATGTACAGAATGTGAGACAGTAGCAAACTGTGCAGATTAAGGAATGAAAGGCTTAAGGTCTGCAGTATATCAATAATATTACTACCCAGAAAAACTGGATGTTTCACTTAGCCAACACCTGCTGTGAAACAGTGGCTGCCTTTTGCCTTGTGTGCAGTGGAGTATAAGGGAGCATAAACAGCAAGTATAATGGTATATAAACAGTCCCGATTCACTGTGACTGAATGATTCTTTAACACACGTTCTCTAGGTTAATATCATGCAGGAGCACAGGGTGGCAACAGCTTGGCACAAATCCTCCGTATACACCCTTGCTGTTTTGTAAGCACAGGATGAAAGACTGTTTCCGAGAGGGCCAGAGGTACTTTATCTTTGGGCCTTCCCTCTAAGTGTGAGAGCTGAAGGTTGCCATGGTGCTATCTTTTGAACCCAGAAACAATGAGCAGAAGAAAACAACTCCTATTTTCTCCTTTTCCCCCAATTTGTTGTAGGAGCCCTGAGATGAACTGAAATGCCCCATCACCTCCACAGTGGCGCCGTTAATTGTGACCCAGTTTCAACCAACTGAGAAGAGTGAATACTGAACATGCTCTTCATGCAAAGTTCAACAAACAAGAACGTCATTGTTAAATAGACAAATAAATAGCGCATTGAGAGACTAGGGGCCGACAGCTACTTTGCATTTTTCACCTCGCCCATGTTTTGCATATACATTTGTTTTTTGAAGCAAGCCATGTACATAATATACTATGCTGCTGTCTGTTGAGAGGATACCTTCTAAGACTGAATCAGCAGAGGGCTGATCCAGTCTGTCTCAGACAGCCTCATTTCCTTTTTCTTCCCATGCTAAATAAATAAATCTGGAACTTTCAGGAGGCAATAAACTATCTGCACCAATCTATCAACTCAGTATACTTTTCCATACTAAGGCATTCTCTTCAATGTCTTAATCTCACTGCACCTCTGTTCAATATTTAGTAATACCTTGAAAAGCTATGAGTGTTTCACCCTCAGTTCCTAACAATGAGGAGAGACTTCTTTGAAATAATGAAACATCATAAATAACAAAATCTGAGGCCAGACGCCAGAAACAACTCTGACACAGCTGTGGTGTGAAGTGCAGTGCAGAGGAGGATTGTGGGAGTTGATTTAACAGACACAGAGGTCTGCAAGACAAGTCTAATCTGACTGAAGAGGAATAATGGCAGTAATTGCTCCTTCTTTGGAGCACACCAACCTCTGCCCGGCTGGCTGGCTGGCTGGACCTGCACATCATGTGATGAAAGAGTTGGGCTGTGCAGTCAGGTCTCATGTCGAGTTTGAAACCTTCTAAACACCACTATATTAACCAGAAGAACTAATATTGTTTGTTTGATAAAGGGTCAGCTCACACAAATTACAAAAAAAAACAACCTAGTGTTATGCGGCTATGACGATAGTTGTGGTTTTAATTTAGCAGGTTTCAAGATATCTGAGATTATGAAATGACAAATAAACATAAACTAAAAAAATGCTTGTGTGGAAATCAGGTAAATAGTTTGAGCAAAGATATGACGATAAATCATAACTACCACTAATTCTAATATAGGTCATTTCTGACCCACTTGTAGAACGTGTACGTTCAAATTACCTATTCATCTAAGGGTTAAAAACATCACTCTGGATGAGTTAGCTCCTTTCTACTGAAGAAATAGTCCCTATGAAAACAGGATGGATATCTTAAAACCTGGGTAAACTACCTAGAGTAAAGTCACCAAAAATGTGTTTTTGAACTTAGGTGAACCAGTCATTAGGAACATCTCCAGGAAGTACATAACAGCAACAACAGTCTTTTGGAAATTGAAGAGTTGCTTTTTGCCACTCACTCAAGAGTATTCCTCATATCTGCTGAGCAGAGGGGAATCCCTGATGTTTGACCTCTGGGGTTTTTCTATGTTCCAGGAAATAGCAGAGCACAAGTGTGTGTGGATGAGGCCTCTAGGATTTGTGGCTGAACATCCTTAACTCATATAGGAGACTGAAATACATCCAAACAAATACAAACCTCCTGAATGTGCTTCGTTTTGGTCAGACTAGTTTGGTTTTTGAAGTTTCAATGATTCATACAGCACAATCTGTAGATCTATCTGTGCTCTGGAAGTGTCAGAAAAACATTGATGATAGGAAAGGACCTCTGGCAACCTACAAGACCACACCACTCCAACTTCCTATTTCATTACCTTCTCTAGGCTGACTGTCAATGTTCTTCCACTGCGGAGGGTAATCCATGTTGGCCATGGCCTGCGTGATCTTCTCATCCAGCTGCCTGAGACCAGCTTCATCACCTGAACTCTGTCTGCTCCGCACATCCTTCTCACCGCGGTCTGACCCTACAGTAGGGAGCTCCTCGTCAGCCGCCTGCGTCCACGTGGAAAACCTATTAAGGACTTCTAGGTAGCTCTGGGGGCCAAGCTGGTCCCTGCTTGCACTCAGGTACTCTGCAGCTTCCTGGGCAATGTCGCTAAGGTATTCAAGAGATGTTTCCCCCTTGCATGGCTTGACTTGGTCCTCTGCGTAAAAGTAGGATGTGACAGAGACAACTTCCGCAAGGGCATGGCCTATGGGAGATAAGTCATGATAGGTGGTATTGAGACAACGGCAGGCCACAGAGAGAAATCTGAGTGAGTGTTGTTGTAGGACATACCGGGAACTGTGAAGCAGAGGGTCAGCCCATCATCTCCTCTTTTTGCTCCCGTCACATGTGTGAGCGTTGAGCCTTGTACAACAACATAAAACTCTGCGTCTTCAGGAGCATTGGTTTCTTGTACCCTTACATGGTCCTCCACTTGTCCCTGAAATGAGAGAAAGAAAATCCAATTTAATTTCTTATACAACACAACCAAAGTATATAATTCCCAGAAATAGTCTTCACTCACAACCAATGTAAAATGCATATCATCATTGCATTGTAACAGCTCCAATTTAAGTGGAAATAAGTAAGAAAATGTATTTTCTTATCCCACTGTAAGGTTCACTGTACTCATTGAACCAGATAGAAGAATAAAAATGGGGCAGCAGGCAGAAAAGAAGAAAGACACCAGTCCTTTTCTCACAATGGGAGTGAGCGGCACCCAACTGAGCGTCTACCTCATGATCCACCTTCATAATGAGATTCATTATTTCTGTTCCCTCTGTTTTTTATTGACCTCGTCTAAACTCTGCTTTCTCCTCATCACCCCAAAGACAACTCTGAGGAGTGTCTACACTCTACTGAAGAAGCAAAGGGCAGGAAAAGCACAAAGATTTTATTGAGAACAATCTCATGTTATGTGTACACAAACCCAAACTGCGACTGATGCCTGCAAGAAAATGTCTCTGCAACATTCGGTTGCCAATACAACACACTGGAAGAGTGAAAGTAGTGCCTCTTTGTCACTGACAAAACAAAGTAAATGTTTTTCTCCTCAATATCAATATAGATTACTAAACACGGAAACCACAAGATTTACTTCACCTACCCAGCATTATTTTTCTCCAGAGGCTGACCTTTACAAGAGGGTTAGCTCAGAGTGTATCTTTCAAGTTCAAGAGGGATTGCATACTTAGAGTTCCATGCTTGTGCAATATCCTTATCTTCTGTTTTCTTGTGCTCAGCTTAGGGTTTTATCTTATGATTTATGGGGCCATCCTTAATTTAGTCTTATTGTTAATATTTTAGGCTAAGGCATCCATCATGTTAAAATGTATTTTAAGGGCCTGATACTGCGTTTTGTTTTATCTATATCCCCTCTAAGCTGTGAGGATACTTAGGCACAGCAGTGCTTTGAGCTAAATGCTACCATCACCATGTTTATATGCTCAAAAAGACAATGCTCGACGATGGTGCCAAATAAATTATCAAATGATTAGTATTATCAAGCTTATTACTATAGCCCCACTGATATTTAATCTAAAATAAACTCATATTGGCTGATATATCATCCTGGCCAGTTTATAGTTTTTTGTGTGAATCCGTTTAGTAGATGTTGTAATATTTCTCGAGATTAGTGAAAACTAAAATAAAAAAACTCAGGATCACCAAAGTCAGCACATCTTCTAGGGACCATGTGGTGGACTGACTGACGGAGACTGCCATCTGTAATATGATCAGTAAATCAATTTGCTGAATGCAATTATAAATAGATTCTTATTCTATATTCCTAATATCCATTGAAGTACATTTAGGATATAGCATGATAGCAAGCTGCCTGTAAAAGGACACAGATGAGAGCTTCATGATGTTACTTTCAAAATGCATCTTGTTAATGTAATTACAGGTGAAAGATTTTCCTACGCAACCTCATAAGAAAAGACCATCTTGTCCCCTGGTTCACAAATCAATAATAAGACAAGCATAAAATCTCCAATTCTGACTGAGCCTTCAGACTGATATCAGTCTGAGCCTTCAGACTGATTTTTTTTTTATTTGACCCTTAACTCTTGGGAGCTTTCGACAGCTTCTACTTGAGTCCAGTCCGTAGTGGTTCAGAGGTAAAAATGCAGCTGACCTCTTGTGTTAGTATGACTGCTGTTTGGACTGATAATAGAGGTCTGACTCATGCTGCAGTTTCTCAGCTTGTTGTGTGCACTGGTTAGCTACAGTACCACTTAGTGCACACTTACCACTGTTAATGTTATCGCTGATTGTTTTTCCACCTAACGAAGATAAGATGCTGGCCTGTAGTTTCTGCAGCCTTCCTGATTTCTTAAGAGGCTGGGTAGACACAGGGCATCGCTAGTTACTGTACATTTTGTGCCTTTTGAAAGTAGAATTCATTCATTCTATCGAAATGTGACTGTGAATATCTTTATATTTTTCAAAGTAACCATGAAACTTTATTTAACTTTCGCCCTGGAGTGACTTTGCTCTGCTAAGTTTTGGATCATAAAATAATTCTTCAGCTAGCTTCATCTACTCTCTGTCTTTTGTGTTTTATTCTTTTGACATTGTCCTTTAGCTATTAGGTTTCAATGTCTTTGAAAGACACAGAAACATATGTGAAAACTTATATTTAATATCGTCTGATTTTGTTTTCACTCCTCCAAGGAGGCTGTAGTTCCCACTTAATTGTCCCAACCTCAGATAATATTGGTTTACACAGGTACAATTTGATCAGACAGAATATGCTTGATCCTAACTGTATCTTCTGTGCCTTGGGGAGGAGGAAGGAGGATGGCTGGCTGGTGATAAGACGTCAGACTGATGTGATCTATGGCCTTCTCTCCAGGGCTTTACCATGACACAACCTGATCCAGTAACAATGAAATATTCAACACCTTGTGGTTCTACCTCATGCCTCCCATATGGGCAGTTCTCAGATCAGGCAAAATGTGTTAATTACGGAACATAAACATGAGGAGGTTTATTACATATGCAATCGGAGCTTAATAAAGATCTAAAAGGCAATTGTGCTGTGTAGATCACCTTAATATGACTTAAGTGCTGGGTATTAATACTTGTTTTCATTAGAATACTAAATCCAAGTATACTCCAGGGACATGATTTTATAATCTCCCCATGTTGTTGGCCATTTAGTGGAGAAAAACAACATCAAATCTGCTGCCTGTGGTCTCCAGGAAACCAGCAATCATCAGCTTTAGAGCTCTTTGCCATGATCTCCTGAGTGCAACACGTAGGTGACATCAGGGGAGCAAGATCACAGCCACTGCGACAACAAAAACAGCTCCAATAACAGTCAGTTCCCTCGGTGAGAGGACAGCCTGACGTCAGCGGGGACAGAGTATTTTTTGTTTTAAATATTAACAGTTAAGAAACTGACCCGAATGACATATTGATGTGTGCTGAAGTCCTCAGAGAAATGACAAAAAAGACTGCTGTTCCAGTCACTATAAATCATTCTAACTCAGTGGTTTGGCTTTGATCAAAAACCAACAGAGGACTGAGAAAAGGCATATGCGCAGATCATTCTACCACCTTCCACATGCTCAATGAATTTCATAAACACTCAAACAATCTAACACATCGTTTGCTGAGTGAACCTGAGGAAGCTGCAGGCGAAGTCTGGTGGTTAATTCAGAATTTTTTACATCAAGTGAAGACTTTTGAAATAACGTTTCAAAGTGAAAACACTTCTAAGTCACACAGTATCACAGTGACACGTAGGGTACGTGTATCAGAGCTAAAAGAAAATCAGTGGACCAGAATCTCATTTGAGTCTTGAGGGTGATAACTAGAACTGTGCTGGAGGCCTTTTCTCATACTCAGCTGAGACACATACCTCTGATTTAATCTGCTGTGCAAATGAGATACTAATAACTAGTCTACAATGCTGTCAGTGAAACTGGAGTGGTGCCACAAACATTTCATTTCAAAGGCTAGGGCTGCCAAGTATTAGACTCATTCTTACATAATAATTACCAAGAATTTTACCTGCATTTTGAATCATTATTAAGACTCATATTGATGTTTTAGGGCTGCAATATTTGGAAAAGCTGCTCTAATAGAGAGCACATGCCATCACTAAAATTTTTTTTTTTTTCTTTTATGATGACCTTATCAAAACAAAAATGTTTTCTGTTGGTTTGACATGTGAAAAGCCTGACAAACACAATCAGTGGAAGCACTTACAGGGGGAGGAAAACCATAAACCGTAATACAGACATACCCACTAGCTCAAACAGAATGGTGATACCTGCAGCTATCAAACCATACTACAAAAAAAAGTAAAAAGATAAACTACTATCCATTTGTGCTGTTTTTAAATAATAGCTGCCACAAAGAAAAAAGCCTAAGAGTCTACAGCCATGCTCTGCAGACTCTCAGGTGCAGCAGTGCTTTAGACAAAACGCTAATGTCATACTAACATACTCAAAATAACAGTACCAACAGGTACCAACAAAATTTCCACCTGATGATGATGCTAGATGAAAGTTTAAAGTCGTCATAATTCATCCTCTGGGGAACATTAATGTTCGTACAAAATTCCCTGGCAATCCCTCCGATAGTTATTGAGTCATTTCTGAACCAAAGTGGTTGGCTGACAAATAGGCTGGCAGCCATTACTCTATTAGTCGTGTTTCTAGGGATGACTATACATTGAGAAACTTTTCAGCTCACCAACGTGAGCACACAGTCTTCTTGCAGGGGGAGAAATTTTACACACACACATATGCACCTGGACGAACAGAATCAATTTGACGTGAAGTCCTACACTGGAGCTCAATAAAACCTCCTCAAACACAGGAACTCCCACACTTTCTGCCTGCAATTCAATGCAACCATTGATCCATTGATCTGGCCTAACAGTATCTGCTATGGACCTGACACTGTGTAGTATGTGTGGAGGTGCACCATAACACTTTACTAAGGGTGTTACAATAACAGCCTTTATATGACAGCAGTGTGCCGTGGCTTGCCCACACAAAGCCCGGCATTGAAATCTGGATCTCATTCAGCAGTGAGAGTTGCTCTTGTTGAGCTGTGACCTTAGAGGGTGGAGACGCCACTTCCTCTTAATGGAGAGGTGTATGTGAAAGTGGTAGAGCCCGTAATGATTCACATGCCTGGGTTTTAGACCGGTCCTCAATCAGCCTCTATGAGCCCCCCCCCCCCCCCACCCCACCCACTCTGAAACTGGTGACACAGCAAAACAAGCACACTCTGCTTACCAGAAATCTGGCAACGCTTCAGTGACTGGCCCACCCAGGCTTCCACACACGGGAGAATAAAGGGTGAGAGAGAGGGAGAGATGGCGGATATGGAGGTTTAAGGGGAAAAGGAGTACAGATGGAAGAAATGAACGTATCAGAGAGAAACAAAGTTCTACTATTGTCAATTCAAACACACCTGCACACGCTGCACTCTTACATTCTGACAGAAAAGACTGCATTCAATTCATACACTGGTGTACTCCTCAAAAGCTAAGAAACAATTGGGTATAGTCGCTCATTCTGGCTCCCTTGTTTTCTGTGAAAGCCCTGCTTTCGGAGGACCTGGTGAGCAGGCTGTGTAAGGCCTGGCTTCCCCAGGGGACTGAAACCTTCCTGGCTTGGATTTCACCTGCGACACAAGGCTTGCCAGTCAACCACTGCACAGAGGGAGAGTCAGGGCTGAGAGCAAAGGGATGGCTGGAGGGAAAGACTAGAGAGCTCTAATTCCGGTGAGGAAAAAAATGAAAAACAGAAATGTATTCACCCGACCACACCCAAATAAATATCCAAATAGACATCTCCAATACGTACGATCGTTACAGACAGGAGCAAAACATAAAGGTACTTACATAAAGAGGCACCTCTCTTCTGTTCACCTCCATTTTCTCCCCATCCACCAGATGCCTGAGGAGGAAATAGTCAAGTTACTACAATGTTGGGATAATAACACCTGAAACCTTTTGACTTTTATCTATTTTTTGTCCAAAGTTGTCTCTTGTTGTATAGTCTAATCTATAGCCAGCTGTAATTAGAAAACAATACACTATCATCTATTTCCCATATAATGAATCATTGCATTGATTTCACTGACACTGTGTATAAAGCCTAGAACAAATGAAACATATGCTGCAGCCAATGAACTGAGTAGCCCAGGTGATAACTGATAACGATTTTAAAACAGCAAATACAACACTTTTTCTGGTGAAATATAAGATGTAAACACTATGATGCTCTGCTTGCACTGACTGAGATAACCACCTGGATGGATGAAGCTACTTTAACTGCTGTGCAGCGTCCGCCTCTACAGGCAGGATGCAGCAGTGGAGGAAAGGGTAACTGTATCATCAGCACACACCTGATCCGCTGTGACTTCACTCTCAGCTGTGAATAGTGCATGACTTCAAAGCTGCACAGTGGTGTCAGCTCTGCAGTCTGCACTTTGTCCATAGACACTCATTTGCATGAGCTGGTGCCTCTCAAACAAGCCCTTAATTATGTGGCTCAGAGGCATCTATGGTGAGTTTCTGTCCCAATTTGAAGTGCAAATAATAATTATTGTCACTGTTGATTAATCTGACAATACTAATCGATTAATCATTTGGTGTCCATCACACATACTCATTGGCCAATATGAATGAAATGTGTTGTTTTGTTTGACCAACAGTCCACAACCCAAAATATATTACATTTACACTTATATTAAACAGAGAAAAGCTATTTAATATGTTCGTAAATGATTACTCAATTTTCAAAATAGTGCAAGACTAATTGTCCGTTAGTTGACTAAACAATTAATCAACTAATTGTCCAGCTCTAATGAGTATTCTCAGTATAACCACATTATTCCACAAACAAAATAAAACATCCGATCATTTATCATGTTAACGTTGCATGTAAATAAAGTAAATTAATCTAAAATCCTAATTCTGATGGCAAGAGACACAATCCTCTGAATCTGGGTTAAACCCAAGATGACTTTATTTTATTTTGCGCAAATCAAACTATAAAGTGACACCAACACCAAGAACAGCATCCAGTGTCATTAAAGCAGATCCAGTCACATTATATTATAATACACTAACTGATGTCCTTTGGGTTTATGTAACAATACTATCCCTATCACTTTTGCGTGCTGTAATATTGTGTCAAAAGGACATCTTATCAATAGAAGAGTGCAATGCCACAGGCCTGGGTGTCTGTTCTTAATCCTACTGATATCAACTGGGCTACACTATTGTAAAGTGGAACTAGAGAAGGTTTACGTGTCATATTGTAGAATAAACATTGCCCTAGGTTGGCAGGTTGCGCCCCATTACATCAACAAACGTGAATATTCTGGTGTTTACGTAAGGTTTAAAAGATAGAATCTTATAAAGGACCAAGATCCATCTTGATTTGAGCTTCTTGGGTTCAAAGGTCAAAAATAACCATAATGACCAAAGTAAGACACAGTACTTGTAAGAATGACTCTTAAAGCAGAGTCCAGTTTTCTAGTCTGCACAGAATTTGTGTCAGTCATTGTCCTCAGTCTCACTCCAGCCTCTGACATGTTCAATGTGAATAAGAAACCTGACCTGGCTGGTGGCCAGTCACTCCAGAACAGAGCGTGAGAAAAGAGATTACACATAACAAGAGAACGCACGCTGTCAAAAAGCATTTGAGAAGCTCATTATGATATCTCTATACATGATTCAAATACTCTCAGACGTGAGCAAGCTGATCCTGTTGTCCTGAACATTTTTTCAGGTGATGCATGATTGAATAATCTAATTCCTCTCACATGACAAGCTGCAATGAGTTAAAGGCTGAATGAAAAGGTGTTCCTTTCTGCTTTCGGCTCTTTGGTTATTATTACACTTTAATGTGTGACACATTATCATTTTTTTTTAGCTTAAATATCATGAAGATAAATTTGAGACTAATGCTACTCATCACTTCTTAAACTAACACAGATAACTGTCATTCTCACTCAGCACTGTCATTGTATCTTCATGTAATAAAAATGTGTGAAAACTTTCTTCTGTACTCACAGTGATGGTAACATAAATATGAGTGGCAACCTTGGAAATAAGGCTTGTGGGTAATTCAGAGTGGAGGGTAAACAACAAAAACTACACCCTTATGATAGGACATAATGGAAAACAACCTCGCTGCTAAGCCACTGGATGGACTGGTCGATAAATCCCTCAAACAAAGAAGTGAAAAACAGGCTGTAAAGATTAGCATACACATTATCAGCAGTCAAATATATCCTCAGGGAAAAATAAATGACCTCTGCTGCTTTCACCGGGAAGTGAAACTCCTGCAGTCAAATGCAGTCAGTAAATGCATCAGAGCAAAATGACCATAACAGTGCCACAGTATGAGAGAAGTCGCCACGTTTTTTGTTTTTGTTTTTACGTTTTACCTGTGAACGCACCAGCATTAGATCGACTATAAAACAAAAGAAACCACAAATTAAAAAAGTGAACATCATCGCGATAATGTTACTGAGCTGAACGACTACCATTTGCAGCAAAAGGTGAATAAGCGTGCCATTACCTGCTGTCGCCTCTCTCAGCTCTCAGCTCTCGGTCTGTCCGGGAACTCGCACGACTTATCGTAAAAAAAAAAAAAAAAAAAAAGTTTCTCTGCTGTTGCTTCTGCGCTTAATAATCAGTAACACCTCTCACACCCTTATTCCGCATTACTGTTCAGTCTCAGCTTCAGAAAGAGAGAGTCGGCTGGGAGTTTGTTTGCAGGTGTCGCCCAGAGTTGTTTCTCCACTCTGCAGCAGTCTGCTCCTCTGCCCTGGTCCAGCCCCCCTCGCACACGCACACACACACACACACACACACACACACACACACAAACGGGCTGCGGGACTGAAGCCTCCCCAGGGAGGCAGGGAGATTCCCATGATATGATATATGCTCATATTATCCCCTATAAATGTAATGTCCCCCTGTATATGGTGAGTTAAACGTGACATTTCGTGCTTTACATGGTGTTTCCATGCGTTGTATTTACTGTGGGTTTAACATTACTGTACTTTATGGCGTTGTTCAGCCTGCATCAGGGTCGGTTGTAATTTCAATTTCCTCCAATCAGAGACAAGTTGGAGTGATGTCACTTTTGTACACCAAGCAGAAATGTACTCACGTGCTTAAGTACTCATTTGAGATATTTCTACTTATGCATTTCCATTTTACAGCCTGCTACTGTATCAGGAAATATTGTATATGATAGATAATAGATTTAACAGCAGTCAGAATGAGAAATCAGCAAATATGTGTATATATAATACAGGAATCTGAATCTGCTTTTAGGTTGCTCTCAGTGTTACACACAGTCCCACAATTTAAGGGAGGTAGAACTAGACATACAGCTAAAAACAAGGACAACAAAAAGTGTATATGTTCAGTTTAGTTCAGTACAGTCATTTTATTATCCCAGATGGGAAACTGCAGTTGCAGTCAGGGGCACAAACTCACACACAACACAAGAGCATACATAAACAATATACAGTAAACCCTAATACAACAACAACAGTGCTAAAAATGTCATGCACAAGAGGCCAAAATAGGATGCTACTGGTGAAAAAATAGGTGTATAGCCTATATGAATATATAATAAACAACAATGACCAACAACATACAATGTCTATATAGAATAGTTGAACAGTAAAATGCTGCTTACACATTAAAACATCAATGATACTAATACAATAATACAGAATATGTAGTAATAAACACCCTAAAAGGGGTGATTCTGCTAAATACATACTTCATTACATTTTGCTGACAATATTTCTGCACTTTTTGAGTGTCTAATGCATAACTTCTATTTGTAATTGAGTATATTTACACAATATAACTACTTTTACTTGAATAACACTGATCACTTCTTCCACCACTGCATTTTTGTTGATTCTGACACAGGATATATCTGACTAAGAGATAATTTTAAACCGCGGAAGTGTTTTTGATATTGTATGATATTATATCATTATATCAATATGTGGGTGTTATTAATATCTACTGTGTATCTATGCTGTCTCAGTGTTTGTCACAGTATACAGATATATTTAGCCACTACTGAGCTACATGACAGTAAGAAGAAAACAAGACAGTTGTTTGTGTCAGAGGGGTTGTGTTCATTAAAGGGTTTTAGAAATTTACTATTGCATTTCCATAGAACTTTTCTTTACTTTTATACTGTATAATGGGTCAAGCTCCAAAAATGCTGGATCCTACATTTCCCATGATGCAACCCAATCATTTATTTTATTAGACCTCTTTGTCTTCTAAATGTCCCACAGTTCTGATCACTTTTAATCTTCAAGCCAAGGACTTCAAGGACATCATCAAAGGTAAGCTAAGGTTTATTTAAAAAAAACTTTGAAAGCTCCTTCTGAGCCACAGATAACATTAAACAACTGTTCTCCTAGTTGATTGAGTAGAACTCATCATGTCTAATGAACTGAACATCATGTTTAAAATCAATAGAGGGCCCCTCTGTGGCTCCTCTCGCTGCATGTCGAAGGGTCCTTGAGCAAGATACTGAACCCCAAATGGCTCCCGGTGCTGTGCTTCAGTGTATGACTGTGTGTAAATGCTTAGTTTTCGTTCTGGTGAGCAGTTGGTACCTTTCATGGCAGCCACTGCCATCACTGTATGAATGTGTGCAAATAGGGTGTGGCATGTAGTGTACAGCGCACCGAGTGGTCAAAAGACTAGAAAGGCGCTATATAAATACAGAATACTAATTTAAAAAAATACACATAGTAGATAGAGAACCTGTAATCGTATAAAAATATGAGCTTTTCTTTTCCTATTTTCAAAATAAAACACCCAAAAACTATTTTAAAGTGAGAATATAACTTTTGAATGAAGAAAAAAAACATTCTTTGCCTTACAAATGAGATGTTACATTCATTACCAACTAAACGCACCCTTGATCAATTAAATGCACTCCACAGTTTTGCTGCTACAGAGTTACTTGGTCTGGTATGACCAGTAGTTTATGGTGGCTAATGTTAGCAGATGTTAGCAACCTTTAGATAGCTAGTTCACTGACTTTATGACTCTTCTCCACTGGAGTTTAACAGCATTTACTATAATCCTATAGGCTCATATTTACTGTAAAACTATTCAGCGATTGCTGATTCTATCATATAAATGTGACTGTAGTAATAGCAGTTAATCTGAGATTTTTGTAGCCAATCATATATATAATTTATTTTAGCATTAGAGACATTTTGTTCTCATAACTGAATTATAACTAGAGTGAATTAAGATGATGAACATGTGAACTGTCAAATGACTTGTGCATTAGGGTTTAAAAAAAAAAAAAACGGTGCTCAATTTGTATGAAATACTAATGCTCTTCTGTGGGATAAAAATCTTTCGGGTCTCAGCTGGATTGTAACCATAAACAGGCACAGAAGAAACAGGCGTTCACAGAGATGTATGAGAGTAACAGGAAGCAAGAGGAAGACTTTCCCACCCTTCCTGCTCCCAAACTTCCCAGACTTATCCTACTGACTGATAATGAGCAACAGATTAAATGTCTGAAACGAGGTCACAGCTGACAGTCTGCAACAATACTGTCTTACTTTTGACACAGTCGGCAGTCAGTTAATTTAGAGTTTCCCTCAGATAGCGCTGTCCTGCTTAATTGGGAAGATGAGAGGATTATAGGCTATTTGGGAAAGGAACAAAGCCCATCAAGTATGCAGCACTGCAATTCATATCCTGTTAAATTGTGGTGCCATCTGTTGGCCAAATAAGTAAGTAGAAACTGAATAAACGTACAATACTGCCATCATGTGGAGGTTTTCCAAATAACATCATATCATCTTTAATCCTTTTTAATTTATTTTTCTAAAAATTTTAATAGTTTTTCAAAATAGAGCACAAAGTGAGGTCCACGCCAGGTAAAGTATAAAGTGTAATCTCATGTATTTTCAGTGCAAGTAATCCAGGTGTCCTGTAGATGGCGAGAGCAGCCAAGACCAGAGCATGTGAACCTCCTCAAGACCCCCTCATGTTATCATAGAGGCATGGATGGACCGTGACCCTTGACCTCGTTATCAGACAAAAAAACAAAACAAGTAAATAAGTAAACAGCAACAACAACTGCCCACAAAGAGGCCTCAGGACAAATGTCTCTCCTTGCAGTGCCTGGTGGTGTGATCCCAGCACAGTCAATCAGCACTTCTTTGATGAAAAAATAAATTCCATATCCAGTCCAAGAACAACAGCTTAGGAACTGCTGTGTGGTAATTCTTACTTGAACAAACCACAAACAAACATCGAAAGCTTCTCTTGACCTTTCAAATACACAAATCATAAAAATTATGGCCTTAAATTAAAGTTTAGGGATTTTAATTTTGGGACATGTACCAAGTGAGAAATAAGGTTAAATAAAATAAGTATCAACATGTTCTGAAATTACTGAAATAAAGCATCACACAGGAAAGATGGCAATTAAACATTTTATTTTGGACTAATGAATGGGATAAATACTCCAGGGGCTTAAACACAGTTTATCCTGAAAAGCCTAATTACGCCATTATAGATAGATCAATAGACAGACAGACAGATTGATTGATTGACTGATTGATATTGTTCATGAAAAGTACTACAGATCACTGCGAAGCGAGGTGAGACTCACCTCTTCATCTCTGAATTCAATAAAAAAAGAAGACTAATGCCATGTTTATGCCTTTCGATGAAGGGATTTGACGGATTCTGAGGAAATACTTGGCGTTACCTCTAAATCAGATTAACGGGTTGGAACTTGGAGCAAAGATAATAACCACTGTTGGAAGGAGTTTGTAATTCCCCGTCATTAATGTGGTAAACTGATCTAAAAGAATATTAAACAAGCTCAAAATCTCTATGCTTTGTTGAACTTTTCTGATGCGTACCCCTTCTTGAGGATAAGGTGTCATTATTTGATTATTATTTGTAACATCTGCTCATCAGCGATCTCCGGTCAGTAATTTTTTTACACAACCATTAGTTAGATTTAAAGATATTAATAGCAACAGGGCATGCCAGATAAGACCCAAAAATAATGGTTCAGAGCCTGTAATGAAGTCAGTTAATGATGTATAATGGACTTGCGATATTTGTTGAAATTATTTCTGATTAAAACTTAATTTTGTTTATATATCAGTTCATTTGAATCTGTTTATTTTGTCATGTGGTAACATGCCATTCAGCATTCATGTTGGCTACACACAGTAATTGAATCGGTCCGTTGTTATGTAGTAGTGATGATTTGAATTAACTATAAAGATGGAAAATTCCTCCCCCGAGAAAGGTGCCCTATAAATAAGTGACCGCAATCAGTTAACTGTTTATTACAATACAATTGCAGTACAACAGAAGGCTATTGGCTCAGCTTTACTTGGTATCGAGTTCAGATCATTCTTTTTTGTTCAGTTAGTCATTTAGTTAATTGGTTACAGCTTTCATTGGAAAATAGCCCTGGATGTGGAAGATTGCCTTAATAAGTCAGTGAAAATATCAAGACACCTTATGTTAGCACTCTGATGAACTTATTTTTAAATCCCTGATGTGCTACTGACATAAATAACTAAATTACTATACATCAAATAGATTACAATTTTATTGTATTAACTGAACAGACTGATTTTAGATTATAGAATCCTATAATGCTATGTTGATGAATTGAATGTCTGCTCATAGTGAATCAAATAAATCCATCCGTCCACCAGCAGTATGATGTGGAGGTTCCGGAACTAAATACAGGGAGGTTAATAATGGGTGCACCGGGTTGTGGACGCGGCCCATTGCGCATGCGTACATCAATCAAAACGCCGAAAGAAGGGAGATAACAGCACGAAGATATTCAAATAAAACAATGCCTCTGCGAGTAAGAAACGTCTTTACATTTTTAATAGCTAGTTCGCCGTCTACGCTCCACGTGTTTCCACGTTCAAATGTAATTGCCACAGTTAGTCAGTAACTAACGCGAGGTCACGATAACAATAGCTAACCTGCTAACTGAAAGCTAACAGACAGTTGGTAGGTATTTAACATTGGGACTTTACTATATCTATAATAATACTATATCTATAGTAGCATCGTCAGCCACACTTAGGTCATGTTAACGCTATACGCAGTGTGAACTAGAGCAACACGTACCCATTTTAGTTCAATATAACTTGTTTATAACCCTTTTCAGGCGTGCAGTGGCTTCAGTGTAACCTCAGATTGACAGTTCAGTGTGTGAGCAGAGAGGATGGACAACGTTACCGTGTCAGCCTCAGATGGGACAGGAGAGTGTCCTCTGGCACCCGAGGACATGGAAGGGATCTGTGTAATGCCGGATTTGGGTGCCATCAAGACAGAGCAGTCGACAGGAGATGACCCAGGGACCCAGAATGTGGCCATGGGCATCAAGTTCATCCTGCCCAACCGCTTTGACATGAATGTTTGCTCCAGATTTGTCAAGTCGCTCAACGAGGAGGACAGCAAGAACATCCAGGACCAGGTCAACTCTGATCTGGAGGTGGCTTCTGTTTTATTTAAAGGTAAGAACGACATAGATTTTACATTTTTGTTATAATGCCCAAGTAACACACGACTAATGTGAGCTTACTTTACCACACGATGTCTTCCTTCTCTTTCAGCCGAGTGCAATATCCAGACCTCACCTTCCCCAGGTATACAAGTACGCCATGTTTACACACCATCCACCACCAAACATTTCTCCCCCATCAAGCAGTCCACCACACTCACCAATAAGCACCGCGGCAATGAAGTTTCTTCCACGCCTCTTTTGGTGCATTGTAAGTACCACAGTTTGTTTTGAGCTCATTTATTAAAAATGTTTTTAACGTAAATCAAGTCAAAGTGTTAATCACGCATGTTTTTTTTCCGCCTCAGCTCTGTCCATTCATCAGCTCGCGGCCCAGGGTGAAATGGTGTTTCTGGCCAGCAGGATTGAACAAGGTAGGCTGTCCATCTGGGTCATCAAACAGGCATAAAGAAACATAATAATAACCATTGGTGTTTAGGGCTGCAACTAACAATTATTTTCATAACAGATTAATTTGACAATTGATTGATTTGTCCTTAAAATGGCTAATATATATTACCCACCACAATTACCCAGAGCCCCAGATGATGTCTTCACGTGTCTTCTTTAGTTAGACCAACAATCCAAAAAGAAAATGTTTGGCAGTTATTATTTCATATAAATCACATGCTGAACAAGATGGTACTTAATATATAATAAAGAGTGAGTCTCACCCAATGGCAGCCACAATCCTGCAAATGAAGTGCATATGGATGATGATGAAAATATATGTAGTGATCATGTTGGGGTTTTTAAAAAAATCTGTGTCTGTATCATTTTAATAGAGACTGTGATCAATCTCCAAGATGAGGAAGGCTTTACCCCCCTGATGTGGGCAGCTGCACATGGACAAATCGCTGTTGTCGAGTTTCTGCTCCAAAATGTATGGAAAAGTAAAGGTTTTTATCATATTAGACCATGTGCTCTTTATGTATTCACTGGTCATGATTTTGTATCATTCTTTGCTGTAGGGTGCTGACCCCAACCTCCTGGCCAAAGGGAGGGAAAGTGCATTGTCCTTGGCCTGCAGTAAGGGATACACCGATATTGTGAAGATGCTCATTGACTGCGGGGTTGACGTCAATGAATATGACTGGGTAAGAATACTAACATGTCATTATCACATGTTCATCTGACGTGGTTAAGTAGAATATAACAACAAAAAAGTAAGGCGGCGTCAGTCCATGTGCCTTGTTGATGTTCCTATTGTGGATTTCAGAATGGAGGAGCCCCTCTGCTATACGCTGTCCACGGGAACCATGTGCGCTGTGTCGAAATCTTGTTAGGTAAGGACAAATATTTTACTCAAAGTAACACCTGTGTTCAGAAATACCCATCTTTATTGATATAAGGATAAACAAGTCAGTTCTTCTGTATTGGTATGATATGTGTCTAACATCAACCTGTACAATACTAAAGTGTTATGTATGTCTGTGTGTCCTCAGAGAGTGGTGCTGACCCTACCATAGAGTCAGATTCTGGATTCAATGCAATGGACATGGCTGTGGCTATGGGCCACCGGAATGGTATGTGTAAATTAAACATTAGCCTAATAGACAAAAAAAAAACAAAACATGTAGATACACAAAGGCTGAGAAACATTTTCTTCTATTTAATTTGAGTCTCACAATCCCTTGAAATAAAGTCACTTTGACTCATGACTCAGAAGTGAGCATTAAAGGAGGCAAGTTGGATTTTTTCTCTAAATGTACATAATTCAAGTTTGTACTGGTGAGCAGGTGAGATGTTGATAATGCTGCTGCTCCCAAGACAGTAAAAGCCTGCTCAGAAAAAGTCACTATCCACTTTGAAATGACACACAGCTCAATTCAATAAACTATCTTGTGTTTCTCTGTTTAGTTCAACAGGTGATGGAGGCACACTTACTGAAGTTACTGATGGGAATCAGAGAATGAACTGTGACACTTGAGGAAAACAAATACTGAAGGGACAACGCTGGGCTCTGGACAATCATTTAGCACGCCCAGGCTGTCGACCAACAGAAATAGTTTGTTCCATTAAGTGACATTTCAACAGCGTTGCATCATATCGATATTATGTTGTTGGCATGATGCACGATAAGGTTTGTGCCGTGTAAATGTTCAATTTTAACCCTCCCCCAAACTGTTTTACTCTGCACTTTTTCACACCGAATGGGGAGTAGCAAATCAGCTCGAGATACACTGAAAGGTTTTCAACAGGAACGTAAAAAGTTACGTTCGTCACTACAACCCAGCATGCACTGCACTGCACCTGTAGTATGCTGTAAAATGTGCAGTGCAGTGTATGGTTGATTTTGATTGAAATACGCATGGAGGTTTTGTTTTGAATCTTTTAATATTGTATATTTACATTATCCTTTTGCCATCATGGCAAGTGTTTTTAAACGAGCTTATTAACCATAATAATAAACCGTTCTGAAGAATTAAAGAATATTAATATAATACGTTGAATTTCCTGACATTCATGCTGTATGGTCTTCATAGTGAGCACATTTGTGAGGCTCCGCTGAAGACTGCAGTGGGTGGACTGGAAATACTTTATGTACTGGAAGGCCTATGGCACAGACTGTGTGCTTTCACGACGCTGCCAAGCTGTTTGTTTTTCCTGAAGATGTTTGTGTTGGTTGTACTGAGTTTATTTATTTGAATAATTTGGACATTGTGTCGTAATGTGATAAAATGATCATATTGATGTAAGTCCTTTGTGTTTCTCTGTATTGTGATACTAATTTCTACTGATGTGTTGTGACCTCACACCTCATTTAAATGTCCCACGGGGTTATTGTGGTGCTGTTTGCCACTGTATGAGTGTGCTTGTGTTTTATACCAGTCGTACTGTAAGTGGTGTATCAAGAAATTACTTGTACTGACCTCAGTCTCAGACATCATTCTGTACAGATATTTATCTGATTGCAAGTCAGAAAGGTCAAACCACTGTTTATAGTAATGGAAATTAAGCTGTTATTTAATTAAAATATCTTTTTAAACTGCAGTCAACAGAGTCAGTTATGTGGAGAATATACACTTATTTAGTGGCTAGTAGGGATAGATAGTAAGACAGGAGAGAAGCCTGTATCACTGAATGTAAAGCTATAGGGCTATCCAGTTACAAGTTAAGAATCTAATAATAACTGTAGGGTACTATTAAATTCTGTACATTTATAATACAGTACAACATTAAATAAGCCAAACAAATAATCATTTGAATGAATATAGCCAAAATATATAACCATAACCAACAAGCTCATTGTCTTTTAAAATGTTGAGTTATTTCATCATGCTTCTTTTCATAATAACTGCTTATTGTGGGTCTTTATTTCAGAGTCCTTTTTTCAAAGTCTCAAATCACGTAACTGGCTGTGGCCAGTGTGTCATGTTTGACACACAGTGAATGAATGCAAAGTTCCACTGAGGCAGGTCATTGGGGAAGATGACATTTAGAAATAAAAGCTGCGGGAATAGGGGAAAAAAAGACCCACAATAAGCTCTTATTATGAAAAGTAGAATGATGAAATAACATTTCATAATATTGAGCTGTGTTTCATAAGAGGCTACAGCCATGGTAGCAGCTCTGTGCCATTCTTAGGTACACTGCTGTGCTGTTAACATGCTCTCAATGATGCCAACAAGCTGATTTAAGCAGATATATCTCCCATGTTCACCATTTTAGTTTGGTATGCTAGAATTGGGCTTGTGTGGACATACTGAATTTTAGACCAGATGATAGTGGTAAAGGTCAGATGATCACCAAAGTCAGCACAGTTCCTCCTGGAGGGGGGGGATATGAATGTCTGCACCAAATGTCACAGCAATCCTTTCAATGGTTCAGACATTTCACAACAATCCACAAATGTCAACCTCATAATGGTTCTAGAGAGGATCACCAAAGTTGGGGGACCATGAATGTCAGTTCTAAACTACATGGCCATCCAGCTAACAGTCACTGAGATAATTCAGTCTGGATTTAACTGGTCAACTGACCAACATCACCAACCCTACAGTCGTGCTGCCAGCATGGCTAAAAATGTATTTCACGTGTTTGTGGTTATAAATTTTTTCTGTCTCTATGTATATGATTATGTTACGAGGTCTTACTTGTATCTACATCGTTATACTACAGGTCTTACAGGTAATATCTTATACATTATGCAAAATCAAACACCTGGTGATACAGTTGTGATCCAAGCAGTGAGAATCATTTCAAATCTACTTGAGATTTTTTAGTGAAGTGCTCCTTTAACTGAGTTGCTCTAATGATGTAAACAGTCTGGCCAAGATCAACCTGCACACTAGAGCATGCTACAGTATTTCAGCAGTGGAAATAGTACTTGAGGGAAAAAGAAACACAGAAATGTTGGCAATTTATTGACAGTAGCAAAGGTTTATCCAGATATGGTGGTTTGAGCGAGGCCACAAGGAAATTAAGGTTCAGTAACATGAGGAAACAGATGTACAGCAGGAGCCTTAAACACCACATTTTACACACAATCTCTCACTCTAACTGGACATACAGACCAAAGAGCACAACAAGCATTTGGAGAGTCTGGTGGAAAAGAGGTGGAATGAGTACTAAAATACCTTATGCTTAAATACTGTTCCCCCCCGTTTTTTAATACTTCAGAGTACTATTCTAGAAAATTACTCAAAAATAATTCACTTAAGAGTATACAAGTACTTTGTTCAGGTGTTGCACATATTACAGAATTCTCACAGCCAAAGGTTGACAGGTTATCCATCTTCTCAGTTACTGGTACAGGTACGTCAGGTACTTTAACTATTAACATTCCACCTCTCAAAATAGACAGAAAAACATCTTGTGCCCCACTTGGTCCTGTCAAGTTTTGACACTCCAGGGAGTCCCTTTTCCTCTAGTTAGCCTCATCCTTGGATGCTTCGTCAAAGTTCTCCACCAGGTCTGAAACAACAAAAGATTCGGTGGTAAATTGGCTGAGTTGGAGAGAAAGGCATGTCCATCTGCGCAAATGACTGCCAGAGAATGAAGTGCCAGAGCCCAATTCAGGAAAAGGCGTGTTTATCTGAAACATAATAGGTGTAATGCAATCCCAATTCTCTGCTCATCTTTCCCCACTCCTATATAGACTGCAATGTGCTCGGCATATGAAGGCCCTCACAACTACTGAAAGCAGCTGCAAAAATTATGGCGTAAAGCATCAAAAAGTTGGCTTCAATTACTCCATGAAATGTGAGAAATCTGCCTTTCCAAGTTTTGGCTTAAAGGGTCGAGGGTTAAACTGGAAACAATCCAAAAGGTCTGAATAAACATGTTCCTGCAGTGGGAGAACAAAAAGGAAACTTAACTCTAATAACAACATGATGGCAGTGTCTGTTAACCCTGTGCCATCAGGCTTCAACTGTTCTATTGCTGAATACATGTGTAATCGTTTGTTACATTAGTGAGAACTAAGGCTACGGGAAGAGAAGCCCTGGGAAAAGCTGAGATTATTGTAATGGCAACCTCATGTGTTTGGCCCATTTTGCTCACAAAGAAAAGCAAACTGGACCTTAAGATCTTATAAACAATGAACATGAGATTCAAACACAAAACGCTGCATTGCACCATCACGTAAAGTCATTGATGAATCCCCTTCATATGACCCCTTTCACAAGCCAAAAGAAAAACAAACCTGCCATGGTTATTTAACCGAGAGAAAGAAGAAAAAAAAAAAAAAAGGTCTGATAATGGACAAGTGTGAAGGAGTATTTCCAAATAAGACTTTGAAGGAGTTTCACTCAAGAGGACCAAATTTAACCTGAGACACAGAATTAATTTTGAATGGTGGAACAGACTAATGTACATGGACAGTTCAGTGAAGTGCAAAATTAGACATTTAGGGCACCCACCTGGAACATCATCATCTTCCTCTTCTACTGTTGCAATCGGCGCTTTTCCATCTGCAGCTGTGTGGGGAGAAAGAAGATCTGTGAGAAGCCTGACGGGCAGTTCAAATGGTCAAGTGGCCAGAAACAAACAATCCTTAAGGGCAAGGACTCATCTCTTGAACCAAATTTGACTAAACAGAAAATACAGCAATGAATTTATAATGAGGTATATGCTTCATTCAACATTGCTGAATATGATTTAGTATTATAAATTACTGACCCTGTTTGGGGAGAGCCTCGGCAAGTCTCCTGAGGCTCGTAAGGCTGTCTGCTCCCAGCTGGTTCAGGATGCCCGGCAGCATCTCGGTCAGCTGCTTGGTCTCAGCGTGGCCAGTGATGGTGAAGGTGTTGGCCGCGAGGGAGGCCTGCACTTTGGGATTGTTGAAGTGGATGACTGTTCCTTGATTTGTAAACATGTTAACCTGTAACAGACCAAAGTTTTATACTGTCAGCAACAAAATAAGGGCCAGTACTGACGCAGATTCACCTTAAATCACGGTAGGACAAAACTGAGACGAGAGTTTCTGCCTACCTCTTCGATGCCGGAGATATTGTTGACACCGAGTTTCTTTAAGGAGAACTGGAGCTTCTTGTCATCTGCGGTTGCTGTTCTGTGTACAACCTTCTTCTTTCTGCGAGCACTACCCTATGGGGAAATTCATACAATCATATTTTTGTGTAAACCTTCAATTCTGAAGGATGTATCCAAGCATCATCTTCTGTATCTAACATAACTTGTAGGCTAGATAATAAACCTTTTTTGCCCCAGAAACTGAAAACTGTTTTTAGTTCACTCTCTGGCCTACAGCACGCTGTTGCCTAAAATTACTGCTGCTATGCAACACAAACTATGGATAAAATAGCTGGTTGTCATAGAAACTACCTTTAAAAGGCATATTCACAGCTTAAGATGTTAAGATGCCTGATTTCAGCCTTGTGTCTCCATGTTATCTACCAAAATAGTACAGTATTTTACGTCAGAGCATTTCTTTTCTCCATTTTTTTAGGTTGGTGCAGTAAAGTATGCAGTAACTGGGTTGATGATGTAGCCCCATTTGTAATGGTTTTGACAACCTGGTGCTTAACCCTTAAAACTAAGTATGTAGTAAGGCATTAAGAAATAGCACAGATCACTGAGGGCTTTGCAGAAAATCGAGCATTTCATGTTACCTGTAATAATGCATTTATTTTGTCAATTACCTTTCCGCCGATGCGGACTTGTGCCTGCAGTTTAGCAAGTTTTTCTTGATTCATAATTGCTTCTTTCATCTGGAAAAAAAAAACGTTAGTGTCACTGGCACAGCTGATCTAGAGTATCATAGTGTCACAGTTAAGACAGAAAATCATGTTAAGGGTAATTCACAAAATGTCATGTTGCTGAAAATACAGCACAAAGCAGGCACCAAGACACAAAGCACACCATGCAACTAAGGAGCTGTAACACACCATGTTGTAGTTGTCTGACATCAAATAACAAAAAAAACCCAACATGAATTTAGAGTAAATGAAACCACCTTTCTATCTTTTCTTGTACTGATTCAAAGATTAATATCCTTACAGTATTAATACATTAGAAGCTGTATAAGCAGCAGTATATTATTTAGTCTTGTCTGGGTGAATGAGATGAACCCTCAGAGACGTATTCATTTTTTTTTTTTTTAGAACGTGAGCTGCAATGTTACAGCCTAGCAGTAATGAATCTATAATGCATGTACAGTTGAGCACAGAAATTAATGCTTCCCTGAAAGCTTCGCAGCTCCTTACCTAGCCTCCTGATTACCAATTAACTCACAGGCACTTGTCTCATGTGTTTTATGACTTTCACACACTGGGCGTGATATGGTTCATTCATGACTAGAGGCTCTGAGCTCATTGAGCACTGCAAACACAGTCTTCTGTTTCACTTCTAACCCAGAACACAAACAATATGGTACACGCATGGAGCGTAAAGGATAATGGAAAAGGACAATAGATGCTGACAGACATCAGGCGAATGAGCTACAGCCTTGGGGGCTTTAACATGACCAAATGGCTGTGTATCTGATCCCTGCGTTCAGAGAACATGAATTTTGGGAACACAAACACACCTGG